CAGGATTTGGTAAATGCCGTCCGTCAGATCGAAGGACGAGAAAATTGTGCTGTCCGACATGGTACTTGAAACCATGTCTTTCCCTAAAATTAATTTCTGCGCTGGAATTTTCGCATCGTTCAGTTTGTAAAAAAAAATATGAGCAATACGCCGTCCAACTGTCGACTTCCTGACACAGAAGGTGGGACTCGAGTGTCTGGCGCACATGGCTAGCCTGACGACTCCCTTAAATAAAGGCGTCAAATGCTTTAACCTGTTCACGTGGCAACGGCCACTGACGTGTCACGCAGTACCTAGACTCAATAACAAGATCTATCTCGTGTCGCACACCTCTGTCAGCGGGAAGAACTGTAGGAATGGTGTCGGGATATACATCAGAGAATTCGTGCGCGAGAGCGAGAACAGGGTTCTTCGACGCATCGAGTTCTTCCTACGATTGAGCCTCTTATTGCTCCTCGCGAGCAAACTTCGGTTTTATTCCTTTTGGGCGCTAATGATTTTGGAGTGTCGGGGCTTGAGCGACTACACATAGTTGTTCGATCTCTTTTCCCTCCAAGTCACGCAGCATCCCCTCCAAGGGAAGCTCTGGGAGCTGCAAGATTCCAGACGCGTCGCGAGGCGGACTCGCGACTTGCAAAAAATGGCCGGATGGGACAACAACAATCATGTTAACGACATTAATGGTCTCAAGAAACGGAGCCGGCGCCGTCTGCGTCGTTGCGACGAGCCGCATTCTCAGCCGGATGTACGGAAGCCACTGCTATCGCCGAACCCAGCAGGGGACCCTGCCTCGGCGTGTTGTCCTCAGCGTGGACTGACATGGGTGCCACTGCACGCTCGTGACGTACCGAAAGCTCTTGCTTCGGTACGGTTTTGGAATATTTATGCACGCGCGGGAGCCACTGCTCAGTCGTGCGACACCCGAAGCCAGTGCTGCGGGTTGGATTTTTGACTCGGGAGCCATTGTTCGACTATGGGGGAGCATATTGTGGAGTTTCACACCACGCCTGAAGGGCCATCGCACACTTCGGATGTATTATGAGTCGTGGGATCGGGATCTACGACGGCAACATGCTGTCACGTACTTTCAGGTCCATAAAGGACGGCAAGTACCGCTTTGACATCGATGTCTAGTGGCTGGGCCGTACGGTTCAGCCAACCAATGTCGGTTTGATGCCGCGCAAGCCACGGCATCTTAAAAATACAGTCAAAGGATATATTCAAGTCAATAACCTACAATTCATCACTACTGGAAAAAATAAAAAGGTAAGGGAAAGACACCGAACCTGTTGTGTTGCGTGCGAACCTTTCCGTCTGTATACTTAACGACCATTTACCCAGGAGACTCGCAGACACGCAATCGCTAGGGAAGGATTGACAGCCTGTCGGCACAAAAATCATTGTCAGTCTCGCCTGAGTCCAGCAAAGTGCAGAGTGGATGAGATACAAGTCAATTTGAACACCGAGCACAATTAAACGCAGATCATTGCTGGACGTGGCGGCATTCAGCTGCGCATAATGAATAGTGGGGATAGGAGAACGTGTCGCCACCTTAGGCACATTCTTCCGTAGGAAGCCACGCACATACTGGCTCTCGCCGTTTTTTGACTGCCCGGCGATGGAGACCAAGACGTCAGACTCGGTGACAGCGAGAACTGGTAAAGGCGTACGGAAAACGGCTGCGCGGTTACTAGGCTTACGACAGCGAAAGCAGACCAGGTTCTTCTCTGTCGCAGGCTTCCAAGAATTCTGACTAGAAGACGCCTATGACGTGGGGCGTGCTCGATCGCATTGAGCTCCATTGGCTTAGGCTCCTGAACAATACGTAGAAGAAGCGATTAATCCACTTGCAAAGCCAAGACACTGAAGTCTTTACGCAACGCAATGCTGAACGCCTCTTTAATATAAGCTGGAGGCTTTCGCGTTAAGTAGAAAGGCTGATGCCCATCGATCATTCCGGTTGAGAACACATGGACCTGTGTCACCGTGTCACTAGAGCCGGCGACTATGCACAATGCCAGGTGTCGCGCGCGTGGAAATTAGTCGGACAATGACAAACAACCATGCTGCAACGCAAGGGATGCGGAGCGATGGTGGTGCTCGTCTTGAAGAGGCTCAAACGCCAGCGCAAGCCGTCCTTCAGGGCCTGCATGTACGGGAAACATCCCGTATTGGCAACAAGTTTTTAGATAAAGTACGGGTGGTCTTTAAACGCATGGGAGCCATCAACTACAAACCCCTTCTCCTATTGGCTGATAATGAGATTGATTCTCACTTGCCTGCGAATAGAGATACGAATGGCTACACCCGCTATCTCGGGTGTAGCAGTTGGCCAGCGCGTTTGGTTGATATAATGGCCTATATCAACCAATTAGAGTGCATTTTTAGCTTCAAGGAGATGCAAGAATAATATTATATGATAAGATTATATTTTTATATATTTTTTAGCTAAAATGAAATTGTCTTATTGGCACTTCATATAAGTGTCAATGTTATGTAACAGACTAACCCGTTTACAGCCCACGCATAAGCTGCAGCAATTCACCTTTATATTGACTTGAACGTCTCTCTTTCACTCTTGCGCTACTGCGAACATCTCTATACCCTCTCCGCCTTGATTTTTCTTGGCTTCTACGCGAGACGAATCGTCATCCTCGTCAACCTGCAAACTCGTAAACAAATTCGCCATTTGTCTTATAGCCTGATATAATTTATGTACAAAACACAATGCTTCACGCAAACAGAAGTTATGTAGACGACGCATTGTCATGTCACCGTACCTTTGCAGAGAGGAATTGTATGAAGAAGTATACAAAATTCTTGCGAGTTCTAACCTATAACTTATCTAAGATCAAGAGATGGTGGTAAGAAATAACGCGCCAAATCAAGCCTTATTTCAATTTCTTGGTCTTTATATTGACGTCATAGTTTAGGATCTTAAATTTGCGTCGACCTTTGGCACTAGCAGGAGTGTAAGATTTGGGTAGCTAGCTCATCCTTTCAATTATAAAGGTTCACATCTTTATAACGATTCGCAAATGGACCCATATTAAGTCTGATTGTGTCGCGTCTTGGTTCTAACTTGAGTATCCAGCTCTAAGGAAGGGCCTCATTTTTGACGCTATGAAAATGAGGACGGACATGGAAAAAGCAGGCCACGTCAGCGGCCGCATGCGTCACTGACATTTGCTGTCTGATACGTCAGCGAGTTTCTTTGGTAAGAAGGTCGTTTTGTCTATCGCCAAGTTTGTCTACGTCAAGGCATGCATCGTGCAGGGTGAAAATTCACACCGACGAGAATTTGTGATGCCTGGGATCTGTCTGAATCGTACTCCATGTGAGCTAGGCAAAACTGGAAATACCCAGACCTTAAACATGCTGTTGACATCGACCGTGATCTGGAACACTTCTGCACAGGCTTTTTTACGACCACGCAATTGACGACGGAACACCATAACTTCAACTCAAAGTAGCAAATTGTTGCGACAGACAAATAGATTTGCACGTGTTTACTACATGTACTTCTCCCAAACGCTAACGCCCCTAGACTACGCTATATGTCCTCGAGCTGCAGCTCTTCACAATGGGCCCTTGGATAGAATGTCATGTGGGGATAGTTCACATACCGTTAACTTTATTTTGCAGTACCACCATGCGCAGCTAAAAGACGGCATTCATGGACCATATGTTAGTTGATCAAGTTGAGCCCTGTTCATTGACTGCCACGATTTATAAAATGCTACCCATTCCAGAAACTTAATCTACAAAACTTACCCCACAGAGTTTAGTCTTTTGTGAGCGCAAGTATCGTCATTGGTTACGAGGTAGGCTACTTCCCCGTGCAATCGCATGTGTATTCATGGCATTCGAATTTTACAGGCGGCTACTTTCAGACGTTAGGCTATCTGAGCGGTCCACTGTTGCATTTCCAAAGCTAAACAAACGTCCCGCCATGCTGAAGTTAACAAGGTGTGTTACTACGCTGAGCACATGGCGGTCATCAGCTTATTGTGGGACTGCTCCTGAAACATTCACGATAAACGAGACTCACAGTGTGCTGTTTTGCAGATAGCTCGGTGGACATTCGACTGACATCGCAGCGCTTATCGTTAATGTGCCACTGGCCGGGCCGACTTTGATCCTAATATTTGTCTCGAACCATGCGAGCAGCTTGCATTTTCTAAACACTTTCCGCTTCTATACGCAAAGTGCGTCTATCGCTTTCGGAACCAGCGTAATCGCTGGAAACGATAGCGATATACGGCAAACTGCATTGTCACGCACTCCACCTGCCAGCAGCGATGAAAACAGACGATCTTCCTGAATTCACCTCTTTCCTGATTATAACAAGAGACGACACAGGGTTCTTGAGTCTGCAATGTTATGCCGCTGCTTCTGCAACTTGCGTGCAGCTTCGATCTCAATCCGTGGCGCCAGCGAATGCGGCTCCGCCGTGCCGTAGCCATATTCCTTTTGTAGCTACAAAGTATCATCCCTATAAGCAGCTACTTACCCCTCACTTATCCGCGTATCCTTTGTTATCTGCTTTAAGGTCGCTTGACCAGCGAGCTCGTCACCGTTTTATCCGTCATCCCGGTTTTTAAGCAGTTCGTCCTGACCAAGAAGGAACAAGTCACCGAGCATATACTTGGTTTTGGTGTCAACACAAACTCTCGCATTGTCGTGGGATCGAAACAGAGCTTCTGTTGAATCGTTACAACACAGCCATACAGCTCTTCAAGCTTATCACCGTGAGAATCGCCATGTTGTAGTTCGACAACTTGGCTTCTTTAAAATACATAACCTTTCGTATGTAGCGTTTACAGTCAGTACTACAAGTTCTAATATCAAATTCGTAACCCTTTCAAATACGGTACCAAATTTCAAAGATTCACCTAGATTCGCTGTAAACAATTGTACCGCTCATCCTTTGAGTCAATTCATTGTCGCTTTAACTCCGGACCAAACGGACCAGATCGTCTCCTTCTCTTGCCTTCACCATGAACGATTGTATGCAAGCCGCATCCAATTCGGGCATGTTTGCACTGTGCTCAGAGCCAACGCTGCGTAAGATCTGCGCGCGCACTAAAGCCGTTACTTACCCGAAGAATGCCGTTGTGTACCACCAGGGCGACACGCAGACGGAGATGCTGTTGCTCAAGACCGGCAGCGTAGAGTCCACCAAGATCATCGAGGGCCAAGAGCACACGCTTGAAGTCATGACTAGTGGCGCCGTAAACTCCAATCATGCGCTTGTACAAGACCCTGCAGCCGTGACGGTGCGCTGCCTCACGCCTGTGTCGGGCTTTACGCTACAGAGTGTGGCGTTGAACGAGGTGCTGGAGGATAAGACGGCCTCGCGTGAGGTTATGCATAGCCTAAGCAAGGAGATACGACGACAGGCATCACTGCTGCAGACGCCGCTGTTCGAGCAGCACGCCAAGCCCACGCCGTACTTTGCCACGTCTGTGGCCGCCTCGATCGAGTCATTTTATCGTAGTGGGATGAACTCGCTGCTGAATGCTCGACTCACGGGTCAACCAGTGGCTAAACTCTTTCCAGAAATGCATTTGCAGATTCCTACACGTATCGTGTACATTAATGGCTTTAAGGGAATTCGTCACCTGCTCGAGAAGAATGTGAACGCGGACAGTTACGAGTATCCGCTGTTAGTGCGTCTCACGGAGGCTGTGGCTCCTGGTGTCATCATGACGCCTGTGAGTAGTATGCTGGAAGCCTTTAACGCTGGACACATGAATCCAGAATCGCTGTCGACACGTTGGATTCGTGGTACGGCGCCACGTATGCTCCGTGAAGTGATTTTTGGTGTCGGACTGAACCAGCTATCGGACTATTTCGAAGAACGTCTGTCCGTCACATCAAGCCCTGCGATGAACAATGCCTTCGGTAGTATGATGGCTGGTGTCGTGTGTGGGTATCTGTCCCATGTGCCGCACAACTTGTCCACTATGAAGCTGATGCACCCGCAAAAAAGTTACGGCGAGCATATGGACGATTTCATTCGGCGTGCGGAGGTGCGCGTCCCTACGACGGTGTCTCCTCGTCAACGATACGTGGCAGCCACGGCGATGGCATTGCTGTTTCCGAAGGGTTTGACGGTGCGTACTTCGCAGATCGTGGGCTCGTTCATTATCCTAAACGGCACCATCAACTCGCTCAAGGAGGTTGACTTCAACACGATTAAGGGCTACATGTCGGGCTAGCGTCTCAGTTTACAACATGGTGACAAGGTGACAATAGGTAGCGATGCAAAAAAGGGTGCACACTTACTCCAGTGCAACTTGCCGTACGGCTCCGGTCGGTGAGTGCGCGCGTGTACAGCTCAGTTTAACTTGAACCAGCCAGGTGAACCAAGACAGCGGAATTTAGGACGCCTTGACTGTGAGAGCCGAAGAAAACATGAAGGCATGGGGGACAGTAGAGTAGCGACAGCAGCCCCGAATGATACAAACATGCTTTGCAAAATTAATATCAATTTGTGCAAAGCTCATCCAAGCAAGCCAACTAGGATGGACTGGACACGACGGCGTGTGTCATAGCGTTTTGTTGTTTCCCTAAGCCTGCTCCATTCGTGTCCGATGTCGACCTAAGATATGGCCATCAAGCTCAATATCCTTGCAGGATTGCTTCGACGAAAGCAGGTAGTGAAGTTTTGACCGGGCTTAGCTGCTCCTGACCACAGCTTGTGACGGTTCGCACCACCTTATCGCTTACCCATGCCTGCTCGATTGCTGCAATAGACAATACAATTATTCTCATGCACCGACCTTTCACAAGACAACGCCGCTTAAAGCAAAGGTTAATTCATTCTTCAACAGCACGAACGAAAAAAACGCAGCCCATAGTGGCCTCTAGAAGTGGAGGACCACCAATTTCTGATTACGCACCGTCTGCACATATCCACTTCTACCTGAACGCGCGTTCCACAAGCTGCAGTGCTAGGCCTAGTGCGAGTACAAGTCCGAGACACCGGATGAGATGGTCAGGTCCTTCGTGATCGTGTGCACAAATTGCTCTGGGATCGGCTTCTCCACGTAGTCGTCGCTGCCCGCACCTTGTGGGAACGCCACGTTCATCTCCGAGCTCTTAGACGTGACGAACTGCACCTCGCGACCCTCCCATGAGATGTACACAAGGCAGCCATCCGTCTTGTCGATAGCCACGGACGGCACCACGCCCTTGCACTGCACTTGAACGCCCTTGCAGTTGACAATCTCGATGGTGGATACGGCGTTGTCGAAGATGAGCTTGGTCTTCTTGCACGAATCAAACACGATGTTCTTGGCCTTGCCCTCAACCAAGATGGTGGCACCCTCACAGCCGTAAATGTACACTTGCTGCTTCATAGTGACGCCGCTGACAGTAAGCGGGTCGGGACCGGTCTGGAACTCAATCTGCCAGTTGCCGTTGCGTTCCTCGCAGACGGCGGGCTTCGTGATTTTGACGGGGGTGGACTTCTTAGCGGCTACAGAAGGCACGGGTGCAGCGCCGTCCAACTTGTAGTCTTTGCGCCAGGTCTGCATGTCCTTGGTGACCTTTTTGAGTCCCGCAGTCTTGCCGCTACTGTGGTCAACACCCTTAATGCCAGCAAACACATTGGCTATATCACCTGCAGATGCGGCAGTTTTCGTAGTTGAGGCAGGTGTGTAGTTGGCCACGTCGCCACCCTTGGAGTTCCACGTGACGCCCGTCGTGTGGTGTGCCTTAACGTAGGCCATGAGCTCAGTTAACAGACTCTTAAACGACGTGACAAAGGAGATTTGGTCAGAATTAGACGTCTTGAACTGCACACGGATCTTGTTGCCCCAAAAGTCCGAGCCACCTACGTACGACTCAATAAAGGGCTTAGGAGCCGGCTCCACACAGAGCCAGCCGAGTGCCTGAATACCCTCATTCACCATGTTCTGGTGGTTGGAAAAGTCGCTGCGGTTATCACGCAGAGTGTTGATTTCCTTGATACAAGCTTGCAAGTCCTTCAAATGCTCAGGGTTGAGCGTCGCGGGTTTCTTGCACTGGCTCGCCATCAACAGGTATGCGCGCTGGGCCGCAAACGCCTTCTCCGTCACCGTTGCGAGTTTGTTTGTATCATCCCCAAGCTTCTTACTGACGTCCAGAAAAGGTGGAAGGTATTGAGCCACGTACTCGTCGTACGCTTTGAGCTGCGGTGACAAATCTACGTAAACAGCAGCGGATGGGGAAGCAGCATCGGCTTCACGTGCAGACGAATGTGCTCCCTCCATGCCCAGCTGTGTCTCTACACGTGCCAAACGCGCCCCAAACGCGTCCAGGAGATTTTGCAACGGCTTGACAACGTCATTACTCATGCGTAACGTGAGATTTTGTGTGTTTTTCTCGAATGGTTTATCTCGTTTTCTCCCCTAAGTTGAATAGATACAAAGCTGTGAACAATATGACGACCCTCGGTAAGATATCGGTTAAATACGAAATCAATCTGAATAATCATCAGTCATGACAGTACAGTTATTTCTGACTGACTTGCTGCCGTGCTCAAATGCGAAAAACTTGAATTTTGTGCCTTAGATGAGCAGCATCCGGTGTAATGTCCCTTCATTTGCTAGACCAAGTGGTCTGAATGACTTGTTCTTTTTTTTAACAAGTCGGAATACAAATGTATAGAACTGATGGAGCTGACATCTTTGAATTGTTTTGAGACAACGGGTACGAAGACAAGGTACAGTAACAAGACACAACGATGAGGAAAATGCAGCAATCCACTAACAATAGCCATACACTCTCATTGCCCAGCATGTTTAAAATAAGCAACACACTCTATAATCCGCGGCGACATCAATCTCTTCGCCTATGGCAGCGTCAAACGAAATGCGAACAAATAGACCTTGTTGGCTCCTTCAACCTGTAGCTATGCTTCACACTGCGTGTTCCAACGCCACTGGTACTGCTGCAAAGCATTGGCAAAGTGCACGAGCGCGGCAGCCACGACGCAAATGTGCCAGAGCTGGTGGCTCGAGAACCACAGATCGAAGCGACCAGGGTAGAAGCGTTCCGGGAACTTGGTAGCGTAGATGATGGCACCGCTCGTGTACAGCAACCCCATCAGCAGCAGCGGGCCAATCATAACCGTAACGTGGGGGTCAAAGAGCCCAAAGTGCCACACCAGATGCGTCACGGGAACGAAGCCAAAGAAGCCTAGCGCCAGGAAGATGCATGTGCGTGCCACGAGGAACCTGGGAGTGCTAAAGACTGGCATGAGCGCTACAGTGAAGGTGAGCGCAGCCATAGTCGAGATAGAGACGAGGTAGGCGCTGCGCAGCCACGGGTGGCAGTAGAACGAGTAGTAAATCATGGGGTAGAAGGATCCAGCGATGAGAATCGTGATGCCAGCGTAGTCCAACCGCGACAGGAATGTGAAGGCCGAGCGACTCACCACGAACATCAAGTGGAAGACGGCACTGCACGTGAGACATATCACCGCGCTGGCCATGAAGGCAAAGATTGGCCAGCGCGGAACATCGTGGGATCCCTCCGCAGTCGCCAATATGTGTAGCCCGTTGCGTAAACTATCGGCCACGCCGTGCAGCTCCTCTAGTACGTACTTCATGGGCAAATCCGCCCCCACTTGGCTGGCCACGTCCTGCAGGAACAACGAGAGCGACTCTACGCGCTGGTCCAGCTGTATCTTGAGTGAATGCACCTGTTCCGAGTGGACATCCCTCATACGTCCTCCAAGTCGCGCCGACAGTACACTTAATTCGCTGCGTAGCTGCTCCAATTGCGCCCCGACCGAGTCAGAAAAGCCGCCAACATTTTTCTCCACGAGCGCATGGAAGCGCTCCAGACTAGGCAGTCGCTGCAAGCTGCGGTCAAAGATGACGCTGGCCACTTCGTAGTACTTGGGGGGGGAAGCGCATCCCGTAGGCGACAGACAGAGCTCTGGCAGACCCGCAGCCAGCAGCATCCGCGGCGTATGATGTCCGTCCACCATCCACTGCTGGTCGTTATGGCACCAGGACTGCGGCGTCGCGAGGCTTGTCGTGTCCGTTATAGGGGACAGCGCATGGCCAGATAATGCAAGATAAAGCATGAGCATGAGGAAGATGAAGGAGCCGACAATGTGTGTCCACACATTTAAAGTCTCGTTGTGTAGCTCAAAGAGCGACAGGAAACAATCACGGGTTGAGTAATGCAAACGGTAACCCGAACGGATGTAGGAATTATCAGCCAGATAAGCAAAACCTTCGGCGTGAAGACGTTCAAAGGTGTGCAATTTGACTTCAGTTTCATTGGAAATCATGACAACATCCTGACTGGATTCGAACTGCATCTGAGTCTCCGTTGGGGTGTGCAGCGTCTGGAGCCGCTTCTTTGAGTGAGTGTGCAGTAGCATGTGATGATGACCCGTTTCCATTCTCGGGTGACAGTCAAAGCGAGAAGAATTGTGGATTTAATTATTTTTAATCATGTGGCAGCGGGTTTGACCAATCGAAGCAGTAGATAGAGGGTGAGCTAGCCAATCCAGTTGCATGAACGCGACATTACAGGATGTTTCTACGAAATATCTTTGCTTCTATATAAATAAATACACTCTTTTCGAGTGCAAGTATAATTAAATCTAACTGTAACTCACCATTCCAACATCATGAAACACCCTAGAACCAAAACCGCAATTTAATTATTTTAGGGCAATCCATTGCTGCCGCTGATGTGGAAATGAAAAGCTGCCCTTTACAAATCTTTAACATGTATCAAATGATCACGTACTTGACATTTTATTCTACATCACTGTGTTACTGTGTATTCATTCAGGTACTCTCATCATCACGGATCTAAGCGTGATTGATACTTTGACGATGCTAAATATGCAACTAGAGGGCAGAGTAACTAACTTTGATGTAGCAAGCAAATAGTTTACTGACCTAAATCTTTACCACTTTCCAAGCTACTGTTTCCTCCACATGGTTATGAGCCAAAGATACACCGGCAATATTGACAAGCCCCCGGTAAGTAGCATATTTATTCTGCATTGCAACTACATTTCCACTGATCGCTTAGCATTCGGGTAAAAAAGACTCACTGCAGCCGCAAACTGTAGCAGAGCTACGTAGCGTATTAAGTCATAGGGAGACGTATAGGCTAAAAGCCTATAGAGCTTTCAGCCACTTAGTTTTATAGGCATTACGATTATAAAAATCAACCTACTCTAAACCCTTAATCACTATAATGCTGTAGTAACCATAATAGTAGCTACAATATGCAGTTGGATAATGTGTCATCCAAACTTCAGTGTATAATATAATTATTACGGCGCTATCGGCTATCAAAACATAACCGATATGGTAGGGTATTACCAATATGGTACGGTATTACCAATATGATAAGGTATTACCGATATCGTACCTCAATGCCCACACCTCCTTAAAGAAAAGTGTAAGAAGTACAACGTACATTGTAGCGGAGCTGCACAGCTCTTTAGCCAGAGGAAGACTTTAGGCTGGAAGCCTCTTAGTTCAAGAGAACTAAATAGAGTTAAGGCTAAAAGCCACTTAGTTCTAAGGAACTAATTAAACGACTGAAAGTCACCCTGTTCTAAGGAACTAGGAAAGAGACTTTTAGTCAGTCAAGCAATAAGCTTAAGGTTCATAGAACCAACACACAGAGTGCAAGAACAAGCTAGAAGCTTAAAGGTTCAGAGAACCAACGCACGAAGTGCACAAGAAAACAAGTCTTATCGAGACTTGTGACCTTAAACTCAGGGTAAGATCTGATTATATTAATGCATTAAGATTTTGTGCCTTACATTATATGTAATTATAGTATGCCACCGCTTGTATCTAGATATAGAATCATCCAATTGTCAATGTATGTTGTACTTAGTACTACTGTATTAATTATGAAACTGATACCGATTGTTTAAGACATAACTGATACCTTTTACAAAGCTCCCTCCGTTAAGTTATGGGTACGGTGGACGACAATACCCATAAGTTAACAGAGGTTATGACTATTCGGATTATGTGTACTGTACATAAGAGAACTTAGATAATAACAAGCAGACCAGACCATTCCCACTTCCCCTTAAACCAAATCAGGCTTCATCCCTAAGGTTCATACTGCTGACAGAGCTTATGTCCCAGACTCCGTAGTTAATTTAAACCGTGCCTAGAGGTGTGAGACATGCCGTCAATCTGTTTCGCCTGTGCTAATAGTGAAAGCTATATGTAATTCTACAGTGTCTTACAGTGTCTTACCTGCTAATGTACCTAGACAGGTGAAGATGTCGCAAATCCGGCTTGCCAATGGACAGCGTCTTCAAATTTGCAAGTACAAGGATGAGAATCCAGGATTATCTCAGTCGGCACTGGCTAAATGGGCAACAAAGGAGCTCGGCCTAGCCAAAACCCTGTCACAGGCATCGATGAGCAAGATAATTCAAAAGCGGACTAATCTGAGGACGATGGATCCAAGCAGTCTAATTGCGAAGCGCCAGCGGATGGTGAAACATCCTTAATGGAAGGATTTTTGACTCTTTGGATCCTGCAGTGTCAATACCGCAAGGTGATTATCACTGGAAAACTCATTTTCGCGAAGGCCTAGCGACTTGCCCAATCGCTTGGAATACTAAACGACGTTATCACTTTCTCGCACAGATGGCTACAAAAAGTCTAACAACGTCACAAACTTCGCGCTATTCGATCTCACGGTGAAAGCGGCTCGGTTGACGTAGAGGCTTCTAATGAAGCTAAGCCTGATCTGAAGAAGGTCATTGCCGAGTACGCTCTGTGTGATATTTACAACATGGATGAAACCGGTAACTTTTCCTGTATGATTATTACGTGTAATGGAGTCTAAGTAATTAATTATTTTTTAGGAATGTTAGACAGCATGACACCTGACAGGACTATTGCTCAACAAGAGTTCGAAGGACATAAGATAAACAAAGGAAGTCAAATTCTAGATGGCTAATTATAATTTACTTACATAGTGTATGCGCTGTCATCATCTGCAGACGCGAATCTCTATTGCGCTCACTGCAAATGCAGATGGATCTAACAAGCTGCAGCCTGTCTTTATCGGAAAAGCAAAGAAGCTCCGGTGCTTTGAGAAGAAGTCAGGACAAGCACTTGGTTTTTCTTACCGGAAAAACACAAAGGCTTGAATGACGGGCAAGATCTTTCAGGAATGGCTTGCAAATATGGACAAAACAATGAAGGTGCGTGGTTAAATAAAATTAATGACATCTATTCTCGATTGATTGAAGGAGGTCGAAAAGGCAGAACTTGAGCTGGAGCAGGAGCTGAGAGACCAGCTAGAGCAACTGCGTGTCCGGGGTCCCATGACGATTCGGAGCTTCTCAATCCCATCGATGAGGATGAAAATGCTCAGCCGGAGCTGACCGAGGACGAGAACTTTGAAGAGGTAAAGGAGGCTCAGGAGGAGGGTGCAGACAGTGATGACGTGGCCATTGTCGCAGAAAAGCTCACCCGAACCAAAAAGATCAACCTACGTGCTCCCTGCTCGATGTATCCATGGAAAGTCACCAAGCTTCTTATAGAGTCCTCCGCGACCTTCAACTTGACATTCGCAACGCACCCACCTCCCAAACTACCCTCGACAGATAATTTCTCATTTATAAAGCTATATTGCCCTTCCTGATTATAACTTATAACTTAGCGACCATAGAACGAGCTCGGCGGACACGAAATTCGATAACCTACCGGAGGTTATAACTTATCAGAGGATAACTTATTGGAGGGAGGTCTGTATGTATGGTGAAATTTCACCAGGCTTTCCTTTACAATAAGAATGGTACGTATTTTAGCGGCGACGCACCTAGTACACGGATGCACAGTTCAAGCCCACCTCCATTATACTTAAGAATTTGTCGACCGTGGTTATCGAGCTGTAACCTCCCGGTACCGAAGTGAGCGGTAATTTTATAATATGTATGGTTTACAATCGTGACGTAACGTTACATATAAAATTTATCTAGCCGTCGTCGAGCCCCGTTAAACTCTCTGTAACGGGGCTAGATCTCCGTTACTTACATACACTATAGGTCTTCGAGGAAGCGTAAGGAAGTGCGCAATAACTAGCGATCTTAGGGATAAATTCAGCTCTGATTTTTATGTATATGTTTTTATACTAAGTACGAGTGGTACCTATACGCATGGGAACCACTCAACTACAGATGTCTTCTCCTATTGGCTGATCATGAGACTCATTCTCACTTACCTGCGAATAGAGATACGAATGGCTACACCCGCTATCTCGGGTAGAGCATATACTACTTAGTAACTACTACATGTTTTACTATAAATAGCTGTGTAACGTTACACCCCGTTACACCCCCACCCCCACACATTATAGCACATACTCTCGGGTGCGACAAACCATTTGGAAGAATCCGACTCAATCATACCACGTCATCATCGGGCGTTTGCAGACAATCATGACCACGAACAACACCAATGGAACCACTACAACACGGCAAGCGAGGAACGACGGCAAAAAACTCCTGGCACCGTCCAACGTGACGGTGCCCAACCATACGCGAACATGTGCGAAGAGTCTTCGCGTCTGGGAGCAATACGACTGAAGCGGAATTGAACGTTCGCGTGATGATGAAGAGATGCGTGAGATGTGGCGGTGATGGAGGCGTACTCGGGTAAAGATGACCTCGGCTACGTATGCAGTAAGACAAGCTTCGCTGTCGAGTCTTGGACTGTATTAGTCCGCCGGTAGAACACCGAGACGTCTTTTGCCGAAATCGTACCGTTACGCAGGGAGTAACGTCGTCGTTCTAGACTCGCAGAAATCCTCAAGATGGTATGTGAGTTTTTGTGGGCCGCGGACCGCCCTTTTTGCTTTGTGCACTGGCGAGAACGTTGTAACCATTGTGAACGCTACGACATAGCGCGGCCAAACCGCTCTCAATGGACGACCATTCTTAGCGATTGTTCGTTTTCTAAAAAGGAGCGCACGCGGATTGGGAGATATAAGTGAGTGCGTGATGAACACCAACGAGCGCATGGGTGGACTCGAATGGACGTGGGCGCGCTTCAAAGATTTGCATTAAACCCAAGAACTCGCTCTCGAACGGCGGGGATTTCAGCATCGCGACCTGCGCGGAGTCCTCCAATAGCGCGAGCTGCTCGACGCTCGCGATCCCGCTCAACTCCCGATCGTAGTCGCTCACGATATTCGGAACGTTCGCGAGAAGTGTTGCGCGAAGTTACCACGAATCGCTATTCGGGGGACAACCAAGCCAGCGAACGCGGTAATATCGTGTTCCCGGAACGAGGTTTGTCCGAGCGCGGGAAGAGCCATGAACAGTCTGAGGCGGGCCACGATGTTCCAAGATTCTTTCCACATGCCAGCATCAATGTTCAGCGCTGTCAACCAGCGGGGATGGACCGTCGCGCCAAACGCAGCGTGAGGCACCGGAGTCTGAACGAGCGGTGCCGACTCCTTCGGTCGTAGTGCATCTCCAGGAGATTGATCGACGGGTGACTTTTGTAGAGCATGATGCAAGTCAAGCAAGTGAGCTGGCTGAGACTGCGGAGATCCTCGCGGAGAAGGCTTCTTCTGCTGCGATTGCTGGGTTCTCTCATCGACTTGAGCTCTTGGAGCAGTCAAATCTGCTCTTCAAAGGAACAACGCGGAGTTTCTTGGGCTGCGCCAGCCCAATATGCCAAGGCTTTCGCGTTATCGGAGACCAAGTTATGCATATGCGTCTGATCCGTCGTCGACGGGAGGACCGCCGGCCAGTAACGCTTGTGACGACCAACGTAGAAAGTAGGGTGTAGATGCATCGACGAAGTAATGTAAAGTTCGTAGGCATCCCCGTTCACCTAAAACATTATATATGGGCCAATATACTATGGCACTAAGTTCGGTGTGCCGAGACTTGTTACTGATGCGTCGGGTATGCTTGTCGTCGAAAGTAGAACTAATCATCACCCTTAAACTTCTCAAGGTTATTGTGTCCTCGATGGTCTTCAGACGCTTTCTGCTTATCGACCGCAGCGCCAATGGCGTCGCGCACAAATGGCGCTACAAATTGACGATGTATCACAAATTCGTCGATCAATCTAGAGTCCGACAGACGGACTCTCAATGGAGACTGAGCTGCGCTAGCCTAAGAAGGAATGTTCTGTGACTTGTAACGCGTTTGAAACGCATGTAGCGAGTCGGGTAATGCCTTTCTCGAGGATGCCAGTGGCACCAAGATATCCGGTGTCCCTCACCCAACAAGAGTAGAAGAATCGGCCAAACCAAGAAGATTCGGGACGCGCGGATGGCGGGAGTTATTCGCAAAAAAAGGAGTTAAACAAGTCAAAGCGTGAACATCGTTGTTCATCGCGAACTCAGTCATACAAAGGAAATCGCTCCATGGCCTAAAAGACGTGGCGTAACTGCGCAGAGCGTCCTCCAACACGCGATTGACTCGCTCGGTCTGTCCATCTGTGTCAGGGTGTGTGGTACTTAATATCATCAGACGAGTGCCGAGAATCTCGAGCAGGAGACCAAAATGTGACCGTAAATCGAGGATCGCGATCGGATACAATCGTGGCGGGCATGCCATGATGTTTGAAGAACATGTCTACGAAGGGAGCCGTGGTATCCTCGGACGTGGTGGAAGCAGCGACAGGTGAAAGATGCGCCATCTTACTAAACATGTCCACGATGACTGTTCCCCTGCACATCACTGGAAATCCAAAGCCAAACCATGCTCACGTAGTTCCAAAGACTCTTGGCTATCGGTATAGGGAAAAGCGGGGACTGTGCCGACGGGGCCGGATTCACACGCTGGCACACCTCACAGGACCGAGCCCACTTGCGGACCCACTTATATATGTGGGGCCAATAGAAGTTCCGAGACAGCATGTGATACGTCTTCTCGCGACCCAGATGGCCGCTGCTGGCGGTATCGTGGTGCTCGTGTAGAACACGATCACGAAGATCGTCGTCGTGTGGTACGAAGATACGAGGAGTGTCAAACTGATCAGTTTATACATGAGCAACTTGCCATCGAAGAAGTACCGCGCAATGTGGGCGCGAGTGGAAGCTGAGAGCGAGTGCAATGCTTCATCCGAGGGGTCGCTAAAGTAGCGGACGATCGGTGAGTAAAACACGTCACGTGAATACGCCTTTGAGATGTCATCACGCAACGGGTTGACCGCGGACACAGCCGTGGTATTAATTCCAAGCATCGCGTGTGCGATGCAGTCATCGTCATCATCGTCCATCGTGGCCACAGGCATTGTATCTTCCGAGGATCATAATCGGGTCTCCGCGATAAATCATCTACAATAAGTTTGTTGATCTAGGCTTGTAATGTACCACAAAGTTGTACTCAGCAAAAAAAAGACAACCAGCGCGCCATGCTCTGGCTGAGCTGCGGGCTCTTATAAGCAGTTCGTAAGGACGCATGATCGGTGTAGATGATGAATGTCTGCTCTCCAAGCAATTAAACGCGGAATTGTACGAGTGCGTAACGCATCGCTAGCAGCTCCTTGTCGTGAACTGGATAATTGCGCTCGGCAGGTTTTAACTGCCAATATTGGTAACTCGCCACACGTTCGTTACCATGTTCATCATGCTGCATTAACGCACATCCTATGGCGAAGTCACTCGCATCGCATACAACATGAAACGGAGTGTCATGATTAGGCAGCGCTAATATTGGCGCTGTCGAGAGTCTCGTCTTAAATTCGTCGAATGCAGACTGGTGCTTTTGACGCCATATCCATATGGAGTTCTTCTTCAGCAGTTGTGACAACGGATAAATCACGGACGCGAAGTCCTGCGCGTATTGATGAAGGTAGCTGGCTAAGTCCAATCATTGACGGAGATGCTTCTGGTCCTTTAAGAGTGGACAAAAATAAATCGCCGAAATTCTTTCCGGATCAGCGCGAACACCCCATGCGCTAGCATAGCTGCCCAACACGGGAATCACAGGGGCACAAAAGATGCATTTCTTCAGGTTTGCGTAGAGTTTGTTCCCGCGCATCGCTTCAAACACCTTATGTAGGTGGCCTAAGTGAACATCCAGGTCTGTCTCGCCCTCAGTGGCACGACTGTGAACGAGAATATCGCCAAAGTAGCTCGGCGCGAAATGGGCGAAGAACGTGAGACACCATACGGTTAAAAGTATCAGGGGCATTTTTGAGCCCCTGCGGCATAACAAGCTACTCCCACATATGACGCTAGGCGTGCTGACGGTGGTAAGCTGAACATTCTCAGTACGCATCAGGATTTGGTAAAAACCGTCCATCATATACATGTATAAGGACCAGAAAATCGTGCTTTTCGACATGGTATCCAAAACCATGTCTTTCCGTGAAATTAATGTCTGCGCCGGGATTGTCGCGTCTTTTAGTTTATTAAAAGCGTAAACAATACGCCATCCACCTGCCGCCTTCTTGACACAGAAGGTGGGACTCGGTGTTTGGTGCACATGACCAGCCTGACGACGCCCTTCGAAAAATGCTTTAATACCTTCAACCTGTTCACGTGGCAACGGCCACTGACGTGTCACGCAGTACTTCGACCCAGGAACGATATCTATCTCGTGTTGCACACCTCTGTCGGCGTGAAGAACTGATAGAGTGGTGTCAAGGAAACACACCAGAGAATTCAAGCGCGAGTGCGAGAACAGGATTCTTCGACGCGTCGTAATCTTCCCACAATGAGTCTTAAATCGCTCCTCGCAGCGGACTTCGGCTCCATTCCTTTCGGGCACTCATGATTTTGGAGTGAAGGAGCTTAACGACTACACAAAGTTTCTCGATCTCTTCCCCTTCCAAGTAACGCATCATCTCTTCCCAAGGAAGCTCTGGGAGCTGCATAATTCCAGACGCGTCGCGAGGCGGCCTTGCGACTTGCAAAAATGACCGGATGGACTAACACCAGCCATGTTAACGACATTTATGGTCTCAAGAAGCGAAGCCGGGGTGGGAGGTCTCGACGGCACAGCGGATAGGGGACGCGAACGGCGCCGTCTGCGTCGTCGCGACACAGAAACACGAACCGGATACTCAACCGGACGTATGGAAATCACTGCTTCCGCTGAGCTCGCCAGAGGACCCTGCCTCGGCGTGGTGTCCTCAACGTGGACTGACGCGGAAGGCACTACACGCTCGTGACTTACCGGTGTTGGAAACTTAAAACGCATGACAAAAAGACTTTACTTACGGCCACGTGCCAGACGCGTTTCGGCCCGCCGCCGCGGGCCGAAACGCACCGTACTCAACGACTCTCATACCCATCACTATAACCTTAGCCGACCTAAACATGCAATTTCTGTACTACCTGGTGGTACTGTTGGAAACCGCACCTACTTTAGATACAGAGGAAGTAAGTTGAAGTTGAAGTTGCAGTTGAAGAGGTAAGTTGAAGTTGAAGAAGTAAGTTTAAGAAGATTCTAGAGTGATTGTCTGAGGAAGTCATTAGTGCAGTACAGGCAGTCCTAGATTTACCTTAAAATCAACAAGTTGTTTGTGAGTGCGTTCGAGTGCGGATTCCGTTAGAGTTATGAGTCCAACTACACATCGACTACGCGGTGCTATAGGACCGTCGAGAACACCAAGACCAAACATGTCATTATCGTCAGACTCTGACAGCGACACAGGCAAGCGTAAAGGCTTTAAAATCGGTTCATCGGGGACTCCAGTTCGCTGGAACGGAGACGACTGGACTTTCTACAAGCATGCCATGATTAATGCTTTCGAGGAGAGCTTATTGGATCAGATCGCTATCGGAAAGGAGACTTTGGACGATACTTGGAATGCTGAACAGAAAGATGAATTCAAGAAGAAGCAAGCGAAGATCAAGATATTGATTCAAGGATCGCTTTCGATGAAACTTGCGAAGCAAGTGATGATGAAAGGGACAGGCACGGAGATGTGTTCCGAACTCGTATCGATATATGAGGGCAAGACAAATCCTGCTATGACCGCGCAGAAGGTGTATCGCTTACAAGGCGAGCTACACAGGACTCACATGCGTGGAAAGGGCAACGTGCGAAGCCACCTACACAAGCTTTTTGATATTAGAAATCAACTTGCGGATTTAGGCTCGCCCCTGAATGACTTGCAGATGGTGGATCGAATGCTGCGAAGTCTTCCGGCACTAACGTGCTATGATGAATTACGACGCAAAGTCTTATTAAGCTCTAATATGACGAAGTACACACCAGAGCTACTTCGAGAGATGATCATTACTGCTGAATCGAGAAGTGAAGACTGGGAAGGTAATATCTTCGGCTACAAGGAGCGAAAGAGGACCCAGGGCACGCACGGTGGCAGTAAACAAGGTAGGGGGCCACACAAACCTTTGGACAAGAAGTCAGCAACCAAGACAAGGAGTGATGGTTGTTATAATTGTGGTGGGGATCATTTTAAACGTGATTGCCCGGATCTGGATGGAAAGAAGAACGCAAGAACAAATTACGCGTGTTCAGGCGGGACACCATTAGAACAAGGAGTCAAAGAAAATCGGGACGATGAAAGTGAAGATGCACAAAAGCGTGAAGTCGTGATTGGAGAAGTTGTCAAGCTTGTCGATAAAGACTATGAACCTTGTCGATGGTACTTTGACACGGAGTCCAATGCACATATCACAGCGTGCAAAGAGTACTTCACGACGCTGCAAAGCATGGAAGATAGCGAGTGGAACCCAACTATCTCGGGGTTTGCTGACGGCGTCGATGCCAAAGCGGAAGGATTTGGGACTATCCTTCTTGAAGTTATGGTTGACGAGCAAATGGTGATGTTGATGATTGAGGATGTTTTGTACGTCCCAAGTGCTGGCTGCAACCTTTTCTCACCTGGGTTATCACTAGACCAAGGATTTAAGATGACGTGGGAAAATGATGCGCGATTGTTCGGAATGATGAAAGATGGAGCAGAGGTGATTCGAACGTCTTATGAAAACCACCTGTGGACATTTTTGACTCACAACATCAGCAGTTGTGTGAACATAAAGGGCCGCATTAAAGACAAGAAGACAGTATTTGCAAACTTTGCTGTTACGGATGGTGTTGCAGACATTGACGTCTGGCATGAAGGACTTGGATATGTATGTCCAGAGTACATCAGGCTGATGGTTGATCGTGGATTAGCTAAGGGTATCATGCTTCAACGCCGGGGTAAAGTTGACTGTGCGGATTGCCACTTCGGCAAGCAACGCAGAAAGACATACCGTAAGACACTCGAAAGGAACATCACGAGAGTGAATGATGTTATTTTCGCTGACTTACTTATACCTGGGGTGAGTAATGGATCACCATATTCCGCGGTTCTAGTGGTCGTGGATGGCTTCTCGCGCTACGTGAAGACCTATTTGTTGAAGTCTAAGACCGAGGGCGAAGTGAACCAACATATAAAGAATTATATAAAGTGGGCTGAGCGACAACATGCAAATCGAGTTGATCGAATCATTTCTCGTGAATTAATTGAAGGTAATGCAGACCAACAATGTTTGGTACGTCAAGTACTGACTGACAAGGGACAAGAGTTCTGTAATGGGACGATGGAGACCTGGTATACCGAACATGGAATTGTGCACACTAAGGTTGGTCCAAAGGCGTCTCAGCTAAATCTGGTGGAGCGAACGCGTCAGACACTGATAGGAATGGTAAAGACAATGATGCACCAGTCTGGATTCCCGAAGTCCTTTTGGGTGCACGCACTAGAAAATGCTGTGTATGTAAAGAACAGGGTGTACTGCAAGGGTGCAGGATGCACGCCTTATGAAACCGTCTTTGGATCAATACCGGACATCCATCACGCGAGATCGTTTGGTTCATTAACCTACTGCCATGTCCCAGTGTCGAAGAAGAGAAAATTAAATATGAACTGCAGAATGGGTTTTCTGCTAGGCTACCGAGAGGATGTTGTCGGTTGTCACGTGTATTTCCCGACGGAACACAAGAAAGGCTTCGTATCGGAGGTGAAGATCAATGAATTAGTCAAATACAAGGATCGCTATGAGAGCTCATACCCCACAAAGGTCAAGAAATGGCTGCATACGTTGAATGAGTCACTGGAGGAAGGCGAGCTTGTTGCATATGCGGATGATGACCAAGACAGCGCTTCCCAACTAGCCGAATATGACATTGAATCAGAGCAGCGCGTATGCAGTAATGTTGAGATGGTCTCGGCTAAAAGCAGCCTAGATGAGGCTGATCGAAATGTATGGAATGACATGGTATCGTACAGCGAAGCAGTAAACGACAGCGAAGTGAATGAGAGATATGACGAGAAATTAACGAGTATCGATCGACGTACATGGGACGACATACTGAAAAATAGCCGTCTACCCGATTACGAATCGTCTAGTGAAGTACAAGAAGGAGAAACTGCCATATCGGATGTCGATCAAGAGAAGGAGTTTTCGGTCCAAGTTGCAGAAAGTCTCAGCACAGAAAATGAACATGACTCCGAAGACGATGAAGGATCTAGCTGTGGAGAAGATGATGTCGCATATTCAGACATAGACAACGCAGAGAGCGATGAATACGCTGAAGACGAGGTGGCGAAGTCTAGCATCGCAGAGCATGATGGTGACGAAAACGATGGAGTTGCTATCGCACGGGCTGACACTAACGAATTTGACAGCGACGAAGGTGATTTAGATGACATATTGGATCGTCACATTATCGAATACGACATCGGAGATAGTAAACTTGATTACGATTGTGATGTGGCGGATATCGAGTCAGTGGGTCACGTTACGGATCTGGTCTCAGTCGACGACGCTGGATATGACTCCGGTACAGATGCAAACAAGTGGGACTATCTCTTCGACCCAAATGATGAACGTGAAGCTTACGACGATCAAGTTACCGAGCGACAATTGACAATCCCATCAAATCAACTGATTGGTCATATACACCCTAGAGACGAAGAAATTCGACGGACGCGCGACAAGAAGCGTACCAAGTTACAAGCAAAACGACTGATGGTTGCTGCAGCACGGCGCTCAAAGCTTCTGAATAGTGGAGAGCAACAACAGCCCGAAAGGTTTGAGGATTACAAGGTGTATTCTGCATTCAAGACCTTACATGAGGATAGCCGAGGCAGACGTGGATTGCGCGCAACAGACGTCAAGATACCAAAGAATTACAGGCAGGCTATGCGATCGAAGCATGCTAAATTATGGCGAGAGGCAATGGACATGGAGATTGATGCTCTGAGAGCAAAAGAAGTACTGAGACAAATTTCGCGGTCAGAGATGCCGACTGATCACCGAACCATCAACACGATGTGGGTTTTTGCCGTGAAGACGGATCACTTGGGCTACGTGGTGAGATTTAAGGCACGCGTTGTTGCACGAGGTGACAAGCAGCGACCGGGTATCGATTTCAAGGACACCTTTTCTCCTGTGGCACGCATGGCCACGTTTCGGATGTTTATTGCGGTGTGCATCATACGGGACATGGTAATATACCAGGGTGACATTAACACAGCCTATCTAAATGCAACATTAGGCATAAAACAGTATCTGGAAGAAGTTGAGGGCTACCCGTGTGAAGACAAAGGGATGATATATGTCATCGACAAGGCATTGTATGGACTACGCCAGTCAGGAAGAGAGTGGAATACGGAGGTGAATAGCTGGTTTATTGATTATGGATTTAAGCAGTGTGAAACGGAGCCATGCCTCTACTTCTATGACCGTGATGGCATATTTGCGATCGTTCTCCTCTATGTGGATGATATTTTGACTCGAACAAAGAGCACTAGACGTATTAAGACGATCAAGGGCACGTCGAAACGAGTGACCCTTGGATCAGTCTTGGTCCAAGAGGACGGACCTAAATTTTGCAACACGGGAATTGCGATTACTCGATAACTACTGGGCCGATGAAGCTCTTACTTCGGGAGAGGTTGTAGGAACATACACGGCAACTTTGCCCTGATCCAGCTCATATTGACGCCTTTGAAGGTCTGCTGTGCGCTGGGTCTCGTTTCTTTCCGTTTCATCTCATCGCCAGATCCGTTCTCCCAGTCATCATCATCATCTGCATCGTCGTCATTTGCATTGATACCAGTCTTTACCGATCGAAAAGTGATCCTCCTCGCGAGGGTGTGGCGAAGCGAAAGAATGAATTTTGCAACGTGAGATCGCGCGTTTTCGGTTAAGTCCGAAATGGTCAAAATTGATAAATCGCGATCCAGCAGTTCGCGGTACTAATAGTTAGTACGGATCGCGGCTATAATAGTTAGTATCGGATCGCGGTCCGCCGGATCACGGCTTGTCACTATCACCTTCACAGTTCACTAGATCATGTGAAATGGTCCATCTACATGATATGTCATGTTCAACTCATTCCAGTCCTCCGGAGTGATGTAGTTTACACCAGATCGTGTTTTACATACTTGGACTTACTAACTCACCATCTTAGCGATCGCGCTCACGCGTATCGCCATCGAAAAATATTAGGGATCGCAGTTGCGTAGTTCTAGGCCGTAGTTAATTCAGCAAAAAGCTGCGAGCATCACCATTCACTGTTGTACATTCCATTTGTAACGTCCGAGAACTTCTTCTAAAATGAGTACCGCGATCCGATACTAACATCACTACCGCGATCCGATACTAAAATGCGAATCGCGATCCGATACTAAAATAAGTACCGCGATCCGATACTAAAATGCTCATTCCAGTCCTCCGGAGTGATGTAGTTTACACCAGATCGGGTTTTACATACTTGGACTTACTAACTCACCATCTTAGCGATCGCGCTCACGCGTATCGCCATTCGAAAAATATTAGGGATCGCAGTTGCGTAGTTCTAGGCCGTAGTTAATTCAGCAAAAAGCTGCGAGCATCACCATTCACTGTTGTACATTCCATTTGTAACGTCCGAGAACTTCTTCTAGATAGCGATCTAGATCGCGGCGATATCGGAGTGGGCCACATGACAAGATCTGATTTTTACGAAAGGGTGATACGTGGCAATAGATCCTAGATTACAGATAGGCAAGATCATACGTTTGGTATTTGATTGGTTAACATTAAAGAGAGCTCAATTTACCTCAAAAGAAACACGTGTCAGATTCTCCTCCGGGTTGGATTCTTTGGCCACCCGACGTCTCGAGAAGCTCACCCCCCCCCCCCTCGCAAGTGTACGCCCTGGATTGTTTGGACAGGTGCGTCAAGGAATCTCAAGGCACCCCCCCCCCAAGCTGCGATTGAACGCAGAGGACTAAGAAGCCCAGATAAAAGATGGTGAGACGGCTCAAGTGGACATAAGGCAAGCGGATCAAGTATAAACCAATTGGAAAAGGCGATCACGTTAAGAATTCGCGCGATCGAACCCCCTCCCACCTATCACTACCACAATCAAGTTCAACATCGACTCAAGTACATGCAACCCGCCCTACCGATGGGTACACAAGGTAAGGAAGGAATTGCTATACACGGAATCGGGGTACCCCCTCAGTTAGTTGGTCGTCCGGGCTTCAGTGGAGTGTCAGCATCACATCAGCAATGTTGTGAACCCCACTCCATCACAAGGAGAGCTGACTCAGGATATAGTGTCGACATCGTCGATGCCTGCATTCACGTTCGACATGTGAATGAGTAGGATCCGATCATGTGAGTACCTTGAGAGGTTTAGGGTTGTCGCGCATTCTTGCCACGACAAAAAAAGGGCTTGGCAAGAAGTCTTCTTGTTTCCAAGTCTCGCACGAGCTGAGACTCTGTTGACGGCCGCTTTTGCAAACTGCCACGTGCTATAAGCAAGCACTGATAGAGATGGACATATTAAAGGTAAGGTACGCTATCGCACCGCTGAGCACCTGTTGGACAGACGCAGGATTACGGACATCATGACAGTCAGTAATTACGAGCGCGTTGTCAGTCATTGGCCAAGATAAAACAGTGAGTATGGTAAAGTAAGTCTAGTATAAAAAGGAGTGGCTTAGAGGTAGCACTTGTTGACGAACTAAGGACCACATGTATGTCAGTATTCAATTAACCACCTAGTGAGCACTACGCATCAGCTTGACAAACACGTCTTCTGCACAAGCGAGGAAACGGTTAGACCGTCTTCACATGCGTGCGGTGGTGAAGGTTGGTGGCCGCTGAAGCGTCCGGACATAACAGTTGCTGGTCGCCGAAGCGCTCTTGCAACAAACTTAAGGACCAACACATAGACACGTCGCGGAGGCTGTTTCCAGTCCTCCTGTGCGAGCTTGCGTGTGGTAGTGTAAGTTCAAGCCTGATATATATTTAATAGGATTGACTAAATAAATATGAATCCAAAACATGATTGGATAATATGTAACGATTGGAGGGCCATCTCTTTTTTATGCACATCTCTACATGCAAGCTTAGCTATATTTAAGCTCGCTTAATGTTGTAACTGACTGACGTCATTGATGACGCCTAGTCCCAGCTGGGGCGTCATCCGCATTTATATGGATCCACCTAGTGCATACCACATCCATGAGAAACGCAGGCGGCTCACGGTCCGAATCGTGGGTATGTTCGATGGACAGTCACAGATGGTGACTCAGTCCAATGTGGCTGATCATTCTCTGTTATATAATTTAGTATTAGAATCAATAATCATTAGGTGAACTAATGAACGATTATATATCTTTATCAAATACTATACTGTATTCTTATTATCATCAGAAGCAACAATTATATTTAGAATATACGAACTTACTAAACTCGAATGTAATAATTTAAAAATTGAAATCTCTAAATTTTGTTCGGACTTGCATGAATGGTATAATGACATCACCGCTCTCTCTAATATAAACTTTGCGAATTTGAAGTATCTATGAAGATGCAAATTCTCTATAACTAGACGGAAAGACCCCGTGAACATCTCATTATTCTTATTCTATTATCGCGTACCGTTTTACCATTTAACCGGAAAAGGTTCTTTAACGATTATATGCTATTTTGCGATAATGAATGGTGCATAAATATGTCGGTTCAACTTAATAAACTTAAAAAAGCTCTTGTAATAATGTCAGAATTGAACATTCCTCAATTTTGTGCTCCAGAAAAAATAGAAATTGCATTAGCTGAAATCAAAAATTTACATAAATCTGATCCTAACTATATTAAACTACAAATATGTACGCTGTGTTTGTGTATTGCGCACGTCCATCGGTCTTTGGTCTGGCCTATATCAACCAAGTAAAGGGCATCTTCAACTTTAAGGACAATATTATAAAAAAGTATTATATTGTCGAATATTAACAGTTATCTTATTTGCTTCTAATATTAGTGCCACTACTATTTTATAGACTCAAAGAAAACCGAGATCACGATGATACGGCATTAGTGTCGACATGGGAGCAACAATGTCCAATGACGAAACAAAGACAACAAAGGACCACTACTAATTAGCGATCCTAAAGTGTGGCGCAATTGCCTCGCACGCTCTCCGACTTTTTCGTCGGCTTGTCGCTAGCTTTAAACAGATCATGGAGCCCCTTTGCATCCTTTCAAGAAAGCAAAGTAATTCATTCTTCCATAGAAACATCTTCTTGCCCCTCATTGGGTATGCACATGCTCTTTGCTAGAGCTGTCAAGAACGTACGTGTCTTGTAACGCCATTGGAACTTCTTATCGCATGCTTCTTTGTCTTCCTGACAAAGCATTGCGTTTTCCTCTTCCGGTTCAGCACAATTGCCATTCGTATCAGCATTTCGTTGCATCATCGCCTCGATGAGCTGTACAACACGCTGCTGCTGCTCCCTCTTTTGATCACACTCCAACTTTTCCACGAGCTTTTCTCGTAGCATCTCCTCCTCCTTTTCTCGGATCTTTGACGCTCGAACTTCCGCTGCCATCACTGGTCGTAGCATGTCCACCCATGCGCGCTTGCACTTCTTCCCTTTGTTGTCCTTGGCCTTGTCTCCTGGTCCATGCATCCCTCGCGTCTCTGCTTCCGTCACCAGTTGTGTGAACGTCATTGACCTCAGTGGTCGTCCCTGTGCCTTCCCATAGAGTCCCAATAGCTCTCTATCCAGCACTTTCACAGCTGCTCTCTGCTGCTCGTCGAGTTTTGGCAGCTCTACTTTTCGTTCTTTTGCTTCTTGCAGCAACTCCTCCCTGCTCAGAGTCTCGACGAACGTAGCTACAGACAAAAATCGACGTCCAAATGCGTATCCGTCGTCCACAAGACCGTCAAGCTGTTTCTTTGCCAGCTGCGCACGTCGCAGAGTTGCAGGGTGCAGTACATCAGCGTTTTTTTCTTCACCGTCGGCGCTTGCAGCCCAGACAAGAAGCAGCTCGACGACTTGACGCTGCATTTGCAGCTTCTCAAGTTCATTTCCCATTGGTTCAAAGCCTCGCAGACGTAGAAACTGCTGCAGTTCTTCTACGTACAGAGACGTCAACTGCTGCTCGCAGTTTAAACCTCTTGCCTCACATTCCAATGCAGCGTCTGCAGAACTCGAGGACACGCCACAGAAACGCACAACTGGAGCCAGTGCTGCGTCAAATTCAATCACATCGGCACCGGAAAACGCCACACGACGAGGTTTGACACGAAGACGACGCAGTGAGGAAGACGTTGGCATTGTAGCGCTTTGATTCACGTTGTATATAAAGTATGACAGGTTCATACATACATCTCATCGGGTTAAATGGGTTTTATCTACAATAGTATCCTCTACATAATCAACAAGGATATTATCCTACAACAAGGATATTATCCTACAACAAGGATATTATCCTACAACACCAATTATCATATCTTCATTACTAGACAAGCATGGGCCGAAGTATAGCGTCTCCTTTGTCGAGTCTATTGACGATACACGGTGTACGTCAGTTGTTTCAAGACTCTATAGATGGTGCAGACGTTCATGTACAAGTGCTGGGTGTTTATCGATGTACGTACAAGGACAAGTAGATTTTATTTTTATCCTCCACAAAAATCTCGGATGTTTTTTTGTGTCATTTTAGACTTGGCCGATCCAGCGCTAAAGCAACGACTGGGTGAGACATTTCGAAACACTTGGGATGTATTTGACATGCTTGTGAGTGATGGTCAGTACAAGATGAAGGTGGTGCTGAGTCCCAAATGCTACAATCTTATCAGGACGCGAGAAATGACTGCTCGTAGCATTATTCGGGTGTGTAGAGTACTTTTTTGACACTGTGAGTGCCATGCTGACGCTTGTTTGAATGTGTATTATCTATTTAGGTGATCAAGTATACAGTGTTTCGTGAAGACTCAAAGGATGAGAAGAAGAAGAAGAAAAAGCAGCAAGTGGTTGTTCTTTTCCAGGAAGTTGCAGTGACATCGTGCAATATGGAAGGAGAGCGGCCTTTGAAAATTGTTGCTCAAAGGTCTAAAACTAGTAGCAACGATAAGCAGCTAAGATTTATATCGACGACTCATCCACGAGAAGTGGATTTGCTTCCGTTGGTGGGAGAGCGTGTCTACTACTGTCCACTGTGGTCGGACCACTACACGCTCGATTGGGCGTGTAGCTTTACTGGTGGTGTTCCAGAGGAGGATTCGCCGCTGGATGAGCTGGAAAATAGTTGCACTCGCTATGATGATGAGTGGAAAGCTATGGAGGGGTGTAGTCATAGACAGAAGGTTCGATCCACTTCGGTGGTTGCATGGAATGTCAATCCCGATTACTGCTCGGACCTATTTACACCTGAGTGCAAGAAACTTTTTACAGTTTTGGAGGCGGTCAAAGAGATTATGCAAGACAAACAGGACGGATCTCGCAAGTCGCACCCGCTCATGCTAGGAGCGATTCGTGTCAAGTCCAAGCTGATGAACTTGGGTGATCCAGACATCGCAAATCCGTTCCCGTTTGCTTTCAACGCGGTTGTTGGTACGTGTCACCTGAAGTGTGGTAGCACTTGGGTGAGATGGCGTTGCAACGAGTAACATTTATTAATACGTGTGTTCGTTATGTGTGCTGTAGTGGATGCAAAGGGGGCATTTGAGGTGATGTTCTTTGGTTCTGTGTGTGCGAAGTATTTTTTGTCTTTATACGAAGGTGACCTCATCCAATTCCGAGGTTATTCGGTCATTAGCCCTCAAAAGCTTGAATGGACGATGACAACCAGCCCTTTGATATACTATGAACATGGATCGTCTGGACGTGCCCTTCATGTGCCACGTACGTAGACACATCACTCGAAATGCTTTCAAAACCTGGCAGTCACGTTCTGGCTGCGTTGTTACAGAGAAATACTGGAAGCTGTTAGATATGACTGGGATGGCACCTCATCTACTACAAAAAATCGGCGATGACATTTCTCTGTCACCTCGGCGAGCCGGGTCACGCAATTTATTTCAGTTGCGCCCATCATGGCTCGAGTGCAGCTTCGTGACCATTTCAAACACTCAGTACTGGGGTAAGAACGTGATAAACAGCCTAGACAGGATGTACTTCGACTTTGTCGGTGTCTTATCGAATGTCGGGAAGATCTGCCGCCGGCGAAAACGCAAACTGGGCAAAGAAGCTCCCGAGATGACTGGATACCGGTGGGTGAAAATGATTGACAGTAGTTCATTGCATGAACTGGTTATCAGGCTCAGCGAGTACTCTCAGCCAGCTGTCTTTCAGTCTCTCGAAGCGGGCAACACCTTGATGATAACAAAGCTGCAGTGGAAAAGGCTGCCTGATGCTGGCTCAGGTGACGAGCGCATCCAGTATGCAACGATGAGCGAATTTTCCGTTCTTCGAGTGAACGAAGCTGTAATGCCATTCCATTCTATTGACGAGTGCAACCTGAACATTTACTTTGCAAACGATATCAGGAAAGACGCCGTGTATGTCTCACGTGAAGTCACTGGAGAGAGCAAGCTCACCGCAAAGTTGGAAAAGAAATATCATCCGCGGAACCGTTTGCCAACGGATGTTGATGAGTTCAAACAAGCGTTCGGTTTGAAGGTGTGCTCGTTCAGGTATGACATTTAGGGTCAAATAATGGTTCGCTTGACTTCGTGACTACTCATTTTTTGTTTCGTTGCAGTGATCTTGAGGCGCTACTGCTGCAAATGGAAGCCTACGAGTATCAGCACGTAGGTTTTGTTGGCCAGGTGAGCGCTATAAGCAACGATAACGACTCGCGAAATGGCGGGCCTTCAGTTTTGCTGGAACTCAATGAAGGCAAGAACATCGATCAAACATTGACCGTGGCGGTGACCATTAATGAACTGTACCAGAAGCCTGCTATCAAAGGAAGTGTGAAGAGGGTCGCTCCACCCGAGTCGCTGCGTTTGCTACGGCTCCTGCCGGCTGAAGTTGTTGACGATATGTATGTCAAAGCTGTTGGAGATAGATCTGCGTGGTCCATGCGCTCTGCAAGTCCGGGGTTATCGCTGTCGTTTATCGAAGCGTACCTGATTAACTCAAAACGTGACTACTTCTTCTCGTTGCAGCTCTATCGCGATGGGATTGGCTGCGTTACTTGGAAAGTCGATGCCATTCTTGCCATGCCTTGCTGATCGCTAAATAGATCACAAACAAAAGTAAATGAGTTCCGTCTATCGCCGTGATAAGAAAACAATACACAAATAGCGGTGAGAAAGATCCAATCGTGTATCTAGCTTAAGCCAAATCAAAACTGAGCACCAAACAGGACAGCAAACGGTGCAATGTTCATTGCGCCATTGATTTGCATTCACCACAAGTCAATATTGTAGCATATCTCCGTTCACGTTATAATCGACGGGAGAGCCTTCACACAGTAATACGCAGCGGTTGTCGCCGTCATCGCAAATCCTCCAGGCGCAAAAAGTTAAAAAAGATCGACATCCCTATTGATCCGCGCCTTAAATGCGACATCTGCTCGTTGATAGTTCACCTAGCCTGTTCCTCATCTGGTCGACCCTTCAAGCGGTCAATCAGCGTCTTCACTTTCCGATAATTTTCCCGCTCGCGACCAGATGCACTCTTTTTCTTGCCAGTGTAGTATTCACTTGAGCTGTGAACCTTGTAGCCAAATACCCGTGGCACATATGTCTGCATTGGCGGCGAGACCACAAGGTGAGAATGCGTCATTAGGAACACATGCGGGAAAGTCGCACCAAAGTACGCGCCATCAATCTCTACCAAAACAAACAAACAAACAAACCATACGCTCCATCAGACATCTCAACACCATCATAACAACCCTCTCAACGATAACACGTACGGCCCGCTCGTTGCGACTTGGGAAAGAAAATGTCACGGCACTTGGGACAAAACACATTGACAGTCGTGTGTCTCGGCACATCCGACTGTCCCACAGGCAGTACTGGCTGACCTTGACAGTAGACGCGATGGCAACGACCAAAGTCTACATTCTGATACTTTTCTAACATGGCGGCCATGCCCTTTGTGGTCAAAATATAGCGAGCATGAATAAGTCCGTAGAGCATTTCGGCCGCGGACTCAATCATTTCCTGCTGAATCTGTGTCAAGTTTGTATCATTGGGCGTCTCAATATCCAAGATAATATCCAGTGCGTAATCATAGTAAGGCACAATGCTACTGAGTCCCGTGAGATTAAAATCATCTTCAATGTAACCCTCGTCCACTTCACATAGAAAACTATTCTCACGAAGAGAACAGAACCAGGCAATCCAACTTGCTTCCTCTTCATCACTCTCTTCCACGTCATTTTCTTCCTCATCATCTAAAGCACTCGAGTCTTCACTGTCTTCTTCTTCTTCTTCTTCTTCTTCTTCTTCTTCTTCTGATAAAACACTGGCACTTGCACGTACTGCTTCGGAAACACGCATTTCTTCCATGTGTCCAAATAATCGCTCCATTTCTGCTTCCTTTGTCGTCTGATTCCCATTAAGACCGTGTTCTGATACTGAAAGACTCATGGTAACAAATGTCCTTTTTGAAGGTTCTAGACGTCTGTTTCACGTGAAACGAACGGCACTAGACACGTAAATGTCTCAAGATGAATGTATGAGCTACTGCAAGACGTGAACAAGAGTACAACACGAGCTCTCGTGCTTTGTACAAACGCCGGGAACCTAATCAAAGGTCCGCCGTTTTGCTTTTGCTTTTGACCGTCAAAGGTTATGCTGGATGAAAGGTTTGCGTAGCGAACTTAAGACGACATCGAACTTTAGAAACGCCATTGGCAGGAGTGTGTAGCCATGTTCACAATAAAATAAAAGTTGTACGATGGCTGCAGCGGACCGTGATGGCGTCACGTATTGGTACGATTGCTGTGCGTCCAACAATGACGTCGATCCGAAACTGCAGCAACGACAAGATCGAGAGGAAGACGAGTATGAAATGAAGGAAGAAGAAGAAGAAGTTGAGGAGCGCGTGGATGATGAACCTATGCATATCACTGGAAGACTCTTTCTCGGATCTATTGATGCAGCGAGAAATGTGACTGCATTGAAACGACTGCGTATTAGTGAGATACTTGCATTACTTGGAAAAGGAGAAGAAATTGCTGTATTGTCGAGGCGTACGAGTGTACTTGCTAAAGAGTACACAGAGCAGCAGATCACGAGGACACTTGTTGAGATTGAAGACTCGAAGGACGGCAATTTGTTGCGGAGAATACCTGGAATACTGGCTACACTTGGAAAGATCATGTAAGAGCTTTTGTGTTGGGTGAATGACGTCAAGAAGTCAGTTCTGGTCAGGATTTGAAGCTAATTGTTTGGTCTTTGTGTGGTCTACATGCTCATGAGTCAAGAAAAAAAGCAGAACGGCATGGCATGAACGTACTGGTGCATTGGTACGCATGATTCCAGATAACTGCAATGACTTACTGACTGGTGTGGAGCTATTGTATGTACTGCAGCATCGCCGGAAGATCGCGCTCTGCGTCCGTGGTAGCAGCATGGATGCTCGTCAGTGAGCCAAAGCTGCCGAGTGTACAAGATGTTGTAGATCGGATCAGGTAGGAAGGAACAAGAGCTGACATTGTCTTGTGAACATGCGACGTTGGTGGATTGACAGTCGATTTTTTTGACAGGATCATCCGTCCTTGGATCGAGATCAATGCTCACTTCATGCAAGATTTACACCTGTTCCATGCCGTGCTTAGGTCAACAGACAGAGCGACACTGAGTGTTGAAATGGCTCTCTTGCTGACAGATCGATCATTTCCACGACTGGACTTTGGTGCGAACTTAGTTGATGGAATCGTTCAAGGCACAAAGACGATCACGATGCGTCTCTTGTCTGATATTGAAAGTGATCAGCATTCGGATCTGGAAGACATCTTTCCATACTCTGTGGTTACAGCAACTACCGTGAGTCCATGTACCAATAGTACACCAAGAAGAATACAATTTGCCTATCTGTTGATAGATCAGATTGATATTCAAGACCTACGTGATATCGACCAAGCGATACTTTACAAAACCGGTTTTGACTCGACTGACGAGGTTCTGGCAGTTTTGAAGCAGTATTATCCGAATGTGACTACCACCGCAACTTCACTGCTGATGCTACATTTTCACTATTTGTGTCCAGGTGTTGCTAAGTAGCAGTAAGAAAAGGTTGCAATCATTGTGTACCGTTCAATGTCACTTTTTTCAACCAATTAGAATACATTTACAAGTGCGTGTCAACACTTAACACACAAAGTGATGGCGTCTTTAGGGTTCTATACACTCGAGAATGGCGCTTCAGAGCTATTACAGATTCTTTACAAGACTGTAGACGATGTGAAAGCCGACAGCTCTGTTCCAATATATCTTAGTGACTCTCGACGTGAGAATAATATCGAGGCAAAGGCGAAACCTGTGGAACACAAGGGGATCCGTCTGCACAATTGGGTCATTGGCTCGAATAAGACCCATATTACGCCTATTGATACAGTAAACGAGTGTGTAAAACGATTGCAATAATAATAATTGCTAACGGACAAATCAACTGATAAGGATGTGATTGTGTAGAATTGGTAAAATGGCCAAGCTGACGCCTCCTGAGATGGTGTTTGGTAAAAACCAATTGGTTCTATTCCATGAGCCATCAGGCGTGTGCTACAATTTCTTGGCACTGGAAGCTCTGAAAGGCACGCACTTTTTGCCACCGATTAGTGATCAGGCACAGGAGATTGTAGCCAATCAACAGCTCAAGGTTGCTAATGCTAAACACAACACTAACAAGTACGTGGAGCTTTTGGGCTTCAATCGAATCATTTGTGTCACTAAATGCGTTGTTGATAGGGAAGAAGTAAAAGAACTGGATATCACGTACGACTGGACGTACACGACTGACTACAAGGGCTCGTTGCAACGTCTCATGAAGGCAGAGGCCTTACCAATTACGTTTACAAAGAGTATGGAAGAAGCGAAAGTCGAGCCAACGACCGAACGCATTGACTATGAAAAGCTAAAGGAACGGGAGCCGATCCTCTGGTTTGATGATGTGGCTCTGTACGAAGATGAACTCCATGATCATGGCACTTCCGCAATGTCTGTAAAAGTGGTGCGTTTACGCTGCCTTGGTATGGTTTTGTTCTAATGGTCTAATTGGATGACGGTGTTGATATCACTTGCAGCGCGTAATGTCGTCAGGATTCTTTGTACTTTCACGCTACTGGATGCGTTTGGACCACGTTGTTGTGCGTCTGCACGAGACGAGAACCCATCATCTCTTTGGTACTGACCACTTCATCCGTGAATATACGCGGAAAGAAGCAAAATTCGACACGCTGTTCTCCAAGGGCCATCCGAAGAACATGTCCAACTACACGAACATTGACACTTTCCAGCACCTGCTGCCGGTGTGCGAAGCTGTATACGAGAAGGTGTTGCTGCAGTAAAGCTCACTGGCGGTCGGGCTGCTTCGAATGCATGCTGAACAGCAAAACATAACCCACGTGAGCAAATAGTTTGTAGTAACAACGCAGCAAATGCATCTTACGACAAGTGTTGCCATACTCCTATCGATAGCCAACGGGCACATCAGATCTCACAATGACCAAATTGTCTGCTTCAGAGGACAATGCAATTGCGGCGAACACCGTCCGAGATCGGAACGAATACCATGAGACCCTTCTCGTATTTGCAGCGTACGCAGGTGCTTTCATCTCTAGCATGCCTTCTTCAAGTCCGGCTCCGACCACACGACCGTGCGCTGTCTCGCCTTCATCGACAGTCACTTCATCAGTTTCTCTCGGGTCCAGCTGTGCTTCGTCGTTAAGAAAAAACGCCACCTCGTGTCTGTTCATGTCTAGGTACACACCAACGGTGTCTCCTACAGCAAAAGCTTGAGCCCTACAGACTTCCACGCCGCTATGCAAGATGACGCCGGTGGCAGCGTATCCGACTGCCTCTTCTGTAACTCCGGTCTCGACCGCTTCAGACGGCGCCACACCAACGACAACTCCTCGAGGATCTAGCATACGCTCGACCAGCACTTCCCAATAATGATGACCACTGGTAAAATAGAAATGTCGCAGCACTTGCATCCGCCTAGAGTGAGACGACTGGCAAGCCCAATAAAGGCCTTACAATAAGTCGCTGTTGTCGTCCATGTAAAGTTGTTTCTATACTACAAAGTCATCGAGAAACGCCTGTCTCTTTGACACGACGTTCGGGCAACCTGCAGCCAAATTGTATGCCAATTAGAAGTTTAGGAGACAAAACATGGGGTGATAATCATGGCAAGAAAATAGTAACATGAAATAGTAATGAGGGTATTATGATAAAATGGCAAGATACTATTTCATGATACCAAGTACTACTTTATAAAAGACGAGATTGTAATCAAATATTTCGTTAGTTATCTCAATTTTTTACCAATATTTGGTCCACTACTGAATGCATCGCCTGGAACAATCAGGTCACTGCTGGGACAAGAGTCAGAGAGCTAGAAATCTGTTTACTATTTTAAATGACAAGACATCTTTCCAGCAGCTCGTGAATGATCTTTTTCGGCCTTTTGAGTCACAGGTCGATCAAATTATAGCGCTCCATGGGGAAGAGACCATCACTCTTGATGAACCCAAATGTACTAAAATAATTTTAGCCAATGAAAAGAAGACAACAGATGTTGAAGTGGCTACACACCACTTTACGACGGTCATTGGAGGAGCCATAGCAGGCATGAAACAACTCGGTACGCGAGAAATTGTAATTGTAATTGTAATTGTAATTGTAATTGTAGTAGCTAGAAGAACTAAAAATGTGAATGTGTTTTTTGTTGCAGCATATGGAGAAGTTTTAGTATGGAGAACAAAGAGAAAACGGCTGAGAAAACGAGAGAGAAATGACACGTCAATGGAGAATACGACCATTCATACGTCTACATGCAAAGGTGTCGTGTCAATTGAGTGTAAAGACAAGGAATTTAGTGTCAAAGTATCACACAATGCAAGTGGAAAGTCAAGAAAAGTGTTGTTAGGTAAAGAAAATGGTTCAAAAGCAGGGCTTTTTTTCTTGCTACTAAGTGGGAAATGGTATCGTGTCTAACAGGTCACTCTTTTTGTTGTTGTCGTTTGTGTTTAGTTGTGGACTGGATTAGTGAAGCAGAGAGCATTTTAGCTGCACAAAATGTACTAACGAGATTGGGATATGATGTTGTGGGTGCAACTTTTGTCATAGCGACAAATACAACTGTGTTGCAGAGTTTAAAATCAGCTCAAGTGATGTTTTGCTGCTTGTGGAATCCCTCTCATGGTGTGAAAGTCAATACGTTAATGCTTGCACACGGCTCGAGTAATGGATCAGCCAGTTGTGCATGTCAGCAGACTGAAAATAGTAACGAACAAGGTTTGAAGAAGTGCTCACAAATTAGACACAATAACGAGAATATGTTTGCTGAAGTGGATCTTTCAGTTCAAGTGAGTTTGAGCTATCGCACAGCAGAGTATCAAGTACGTTCATAATTTCAAATTGATTTGTAGTACGCAAAAGTGTAAAGCATTTTGTAACCCGGTCATATTGGTAGGCCAACAATCCAAGCGAAGACCGTAGCGTGAACATTGTGAAGGCGGCGGATGCTGGTCTACAAATTAACGCGGTATTTGACGGCCACGGTGGCTCCAGGGCAGTAGAGTACGTGGATGCCGAACATGTGATATCGCGTGACTACGCGTACTAACACTGGATATGTGCTACGTATAGGCAACTCCGCACATCGCTTTGCCAGCACATACTTGCGGAAGTTACTTCCACAAACTCCAGCGACGAAGTCTGTGCGATTGTCAAGAGTGCTTTTCATCGTTCTGATGAGGAATTGAAGCAGTCACTCTTAGCTCTTCCCTCAAATATTTACATGTCAAAGGGCTACTGTAACGCTGGATCGTGCGTGGTCATTGCGTTGTTTATAAATGCGGTGCTCTATGTCGCGAATGTTGGAGACTGTGCTGCTGTACTAGGAAAAGTAAGCAACGAGACTCAAGAACTTCAGGCGATTGAAGTATCAGTTGATCATTCGTGCAATAATCCACACGAAACGAAACTCGTGGTCGAGCGCTCTCACGATCGCAACGCTATCAGGATGAGCAAAGACGATCAAGCAACTGGAGCAGGCGCCATTAGTGTTAAACGTGTAGCTGGAAGTCTGGCGATGACACGCGCGTTTGGTGACTTCTATCTCAAGTGTCCAGAGCTGAGTTCGACTCCCTTTAAGGTAATTGACACACTTTGTTTTCGTTGTTGCTGTCGACAGCTTAATAGTGTCTGCTGTTGGCTGACTACAGAGCAAAGTACCGTACATTACGTCAGAGCCCAGTATTACTACTGTGTACATGGATGGCAGCGAAAAGTACGTTGTATTGGCAAGCGACGGCTTATGGGACGTCATGACACCACAAGAGGCTGTTTATATTGTGGACAAGTTTGGTACAGTGACGATAACTTTTATAGACCGGAATGCGCACTGGACTAATTGTCTGCCTATTTGTGAATAGACCCGGAGCAGTCTTTGTTCTTTACGACTGTCAGTGCTGCTCTTATTCATGCTGCTTTGGAAAAGATTGCGCATAGAGATGGATTAATGATGCACGAACTAATGGCGATGCCGAAAGGCTCAGTACGGAGACGTTTTCATGACGACATGACATGCACTGTTGTCTACATCGACCATCACAACCGCTCGCAGCAGACTGTGGCCAGCCACAATACAACAGAGAGTCTAGTTACAAGCTAGCACGGCATCTTCTCGAGCTGCTTACAAGCTGAAGGATGTAAGACGTCTTCTTCTGTGCATCCAGTGCTCTGTAAAATTGATATCTACCTGCATGGTGGAACGAGATCCAACCTGTATCGTAAGTCGGAGCTCAAAAAAGGCAGCTTGTCAGCTCACTAACAATCTCAGGAGTCAACGCATTGCTTCAAATGCTACGATCACATTTTCACTTGCTCTGATGTGAAATTACCGTTCATTGTCTTAATGCTGCTCTTGAACTATGAGCCGAGAGAATGGAATATTGGCTCCAAGGTCAATCGTTGTCACGCTATGCTCCGTCAAGAAGAAAATCGCTTTGGTTGTGCTGGTGCCTCAACGGTGGTCGTTGGGAAGGTGTAAGTATTAAAGCCTCAATTGTGGTGCAGGTATTGTCCCGTTCTATATTCAAGAGTTCAATAAGTCACATGGGTGCAAGGCTACTACAATATCATGTAGAGAAAGCACAAACGCACCGTTCAATACGTTGCGTCACTGACTTCTGTCAGCACGATGCTCGATTAATCGTCGGAGGCAAGCTTGTGGTACACGCGGCTCGTGTAAAGAATTGTAAAAAGAGAAATGCCGATAAGAGGCACGAACGTCCAGTTAAGCACATATTGGATGCCGGGCAAGCCCACGACTGTGATCGCGACATCACCAATAGCCCGTCCAAATGTGCCCGCTTCTGTAGCCAGCAATCCCGAGTTGAACGTGCCCTTTGCAAAAGACTTGGGGATCGTCTTGGACAATAGCGACATATTCACGCCTTCCAGCACATTCGTGGAGATGAAAATAAGCACACCTCCCGCAACAAACTGCGCGACGGAGTAGTGTCCATAGTTCACAATAACACCCACACCGACAAACATGGCGGCTTCGGAAAACACAATCATCTCGCGGTCTTCGTAACGAAAACTCATACAGCCCACAATCATGTTTGTCGGGAACATCAGAAGCCCTAGTGCAGCAAGGTACATGCCGTTGTTGCTGGAACCCCAGTTGAAGTGATACATAGCGATTGTCGAACTCGCCGTGATAAGACACTCCAGCACCAGCTTGAGAACGATATAGATAAAAAGTGATGCCACGACGGGTACATTGTGCCGAAGGGAAGACAGGGTCGGAGGGGCACTTACCATCGAGGTTGCTCGCGAAACTAACGGCGTGTCTTCTCCCATTTCGACCGCCACTGCTAAAATACTCGAGTTTTTCATTCCGTTTTCCAGCATCGAGCGTCGACGTTCTAGAAAGCGTTCTCTCTCCAAACGGTTGGGCTCCTCAAACCAAATCAAAAGGGCAATGAGATAGATTGTCCACAGAGCAAACATGATCCAACCCGGCGAGGTTTCTGTCGTAATTTCGATACCGGCAAACCGGTAGTCAGGGAGATAGTGGAGTCCAGCCGCGAGGGCTGGGCCTGCTGCCATGCCGAGTGCACTAGCGGTCACAAACAGCGCCGAGGCCTGCGTTCGCTCCTCACGAGAATAGTTGTCGGCAATATAGCGACGATTAATAGCGCGAGCACCACCAAAACCATTGAGCATACGACCAGTCAAAGCCATAGCGACACTGTTGTATGAAAGCGCCATACCATACAGCAAGTTTCCCAGGATAAGGCATACAGTTGCAAAGCTCAGTGAGTGCTTGTACGAGCGATTAGCCCACCAACTATACAGCACCGCACTTGCAAGAGAGGCCACGGGCGTCATTCCCACAATAACACCACTCATAGAAGCCTCGGCACCCAACTCAGCCGCGTACTTGCCACTTGTCGGAGCCACGATATAGTAATTCGTCATATATAGGAACGTGTTCAGGATGTTAAGCAGACGCGATGGCTTTGACGCCTGCTTGAGTCTCTTAAGCATATCATAGGTCTCATCATCTTCATCTTCCGAAGAGTCAGCATCGAAGATAAGCGAACGTGCAGCCACTGCCTTGACGTACTGCGTCGACTTGTGCAGTCGGCGCCGCGCTTGACCGATCCGACTTAGCACTGGTTCATCTTCTGAAATAGTCCGCGTCAGAGCTTTACTCGTCGCGTCAGATGCTAGGCACACCTCTAATTTCCGTAACTTGGTCAATGCTGAGCGAATACTGGCAATAATGGCCGAAATACCTTCATCATGATACAATTGCTGCATGTGGGAAGCCTGGGAGTCAGTGCGTGACGACAAGTACGAGCCCATGATCTTGTATTCCTTGAGCGTTTTGTCATGTTTTTTGAGAATTTTTCGAATGCCCGTTGCATTGAGCTCAACAAAATGCAGCAATTGTACCAAATCATCGCCCACATGTCGGTACATGTCGGCAATTGAGTGCATTGCCTCTAAATCTCCTGCTGGGAGCTCCAATTGTTGTGTCCGAAGACCTTGTAATGTCGTAGCAAATTCACCCTGTTTCGTCAAAAAAAAGAGTACGACACGCTCCACTTCTGAGTCCAGTTCATGTTTAAAATCCTCTTGTTCTCCACGTGTTTCTTCATGCTGAGCTTCCACTACTATCCGCAATTTCTTTTTTAGCTGCTTGTACTCGAGATAATGACTATCAAAACATGACAAAATGGTAGGTAATAACATGTCAAATAATAGTATCGTCTATTGTGATACACATAATACGTACCCTTTCCATTCGGGCCGCTGAGCTGCCGCGAGTTTCTTGGCAAATTGCACCATTTATCAGCCACTGGTTCTTCCTCGCGTCTATTGGGATTTTCGGTCGAAATTCTAATAATGTAGAACTATATATAATTGGTTGGTTCCCTAAAATAGAGTCGGCTCGTTTAGTATAAATAACTCTATTTTACCAAAAATAGAGCTGTGCGTTATTTTAGATGCCTGGTTGCTGGCTAGCATTAGCATCGCAGCATCATACGCAGTGGAATGGCACAGGCACCCAAGCCGATGGAAATCGTCCACTGACCAGTCGTTAATGGTTTGCAGTTGAAAAATGACCCTGTATGCTCGACGATGATGAACTGCATGAGCATTTGGAAACACGTCACGCAAATGTATACGTGGTTTCTTGATAAACCCTCCAAGACATTGAGCTCGTCGTGAATCTTGCGGCAATTGAGCTCGTTAAAGAGCTGCATCCACACAAACGTGTTAAAGACAACCGTCATGTGTTGAGTCGGTTCATGCTTGACACCTTTCTCCAGATCGTTGAAACGCCCAGAAGGCACGTCTAGCAATTGTTCACCCATGAACGTAAGCAGGAGCAGTATTGTAAGCTGGTAAATGGACTGTCCAAGAATGTGCTTTATCATGACATTTGACAACAACGGCTTCGTCTTTGGGTACGGTCGACGTTCCAATAGAGCGGACGTTGGGGGTTCGGTGGCCAAAGCCAGCGATGCAAACGAGTCCATAATGAGATTCACCCACAATAACTGGACTGCTGTAAGTGGTGACTGCTCTAAAATCACTGCACCCATGAACGCAAGGCTAATTGCCACGACGTTTACCGTGAGCTGAAACATGAGGAACTTGGCGATCGAGTCGTATACATTGCGTCCCCATTTGATGGCGCTCACGATAGAAGAAAAGTTGTCGTCCATTAGGATAATGTCGGATGCGTCTTTGGCGACAGCAGTTCCACTAATACCCATTGCAAAGCCGACGTTGGCTTTCTTCAAAGCAGGAGCGTCGTTCGTGCCGTCACCTGTCACAGCAATAATCTGCGGACCATGGGGCATCAAATTAGACTGCATGAGACCAGCAACGAGCGTATACTTGTCCTTGGGGGACGAACGTGCCATGACACGCAGTAAAGGCCAAATCTTGTCAAACTCGGATTGGATGATGTTGCCATTGTTATCCAACACACGTGTACGAAATTCCTGGCCTTCAAGCACCAACGAGCCATCGCCCGGTGAAATAATGCCGCATTTTCCAGCTATTTGGCAAGCTGTTGTAATGTTGTCTCCAGTGATCATACGCACAATGATACCAGCGCGGCGGCAAAGCTCGATCGATCCAGGTACCTCTTTACGGACAGGATCTTCAATGCCAACAATACAAATGCATGTTAGATCCTTCTCAACGTCATTGTCGGACCATTGATTGATCTCATCTGCTGAAGCCTCGACGTCACGGTAGGCAAGACATAGCGTACGATAGCCTTGGGAGGCAAACGTCTCAATAACAGTTGTGCCGATGATCCTCTTCTGATTGCTGTCAAGAGAGGTCACAGATCCATCAAGGCGCTTCACCTTGCTGCAGAATCCCAACACCACTTCCGTTGCACCCTTGGTGTAAATTCGGCAGGTACTCACCGACCGTTTGACCACTATAGACATGCGTTTCTTCTTGCTGCTGAACGTAAGCATGCGACCAGTCTCGGTGTGTGCACGGACGCTCGTATAGTCCACGCCACAGTCCCGTACGAATTGCAGCAAGGCACATTCGGTCTTGTTACCAGTGTGTTCTGGTGGTCCACCGGCGACTTTGGACGGGAGAATTTCAGCGGTCGAGTTAACGCACACGCCATTGCACAAGACGTCACGCGTGGACTCGGACATCTCATCGGTCGTCTGCGAGGCCGATGAAAAGGTGTGTCCTCCGATCCAAATTTGCATGACAGCCATGCGGTTTGTTGTAAGCGTGCCTGTCTTGTCCGAGCAAATTGTCGTGGCACTGCCCATGGTTTCGCAGGCATTCAAGTGGCGTACAAGGTTATTATCCATTAGCATTTTTTTCACCGAATAGGCAAGTGATATCGTCACTGCAAGAGGTAAACCTTCCGGGATGGCCACCACAAGCACCGTGATAGCCACGATGAAAAACTGCAGATAGTCGCTGATGTACTTGGCCTTCCACTCTTTCTTGTTGTCACCAGTGAAATTATGCACCGAGAATCGAATCGACATAATGATGAACACAAGCAAGGCTATAGCAATGCCAAGCTTACCAATGAGAATAGTCAAATGGTTGAGCTTGGTCTCAAGGGGGGACTGTCTTTCATTGCCGTATTCTTCCTTTTGCTCGACGATGCCATCAATCGCTTTCGACGAAGCAGGATCCAACGTCGTTGACACAGAAGATGGTACTAGATTTTCTTCAGCCTCCCTTGCTTTTTCCTTCGTGCCAAGGATAAGCTTTCTGATGATTTCTGCTTGAGAGTTTTCCCCCACACACACAACCAACATCTTGCCCAGACCTTCCATGACTTTTGTCCCTGAGAGGAGAAATGGGTTTTCCACACCCTTCACGGTCAGGTCGGACTCGCCAGTCATTGTTGACTCGTCCAGCTTGAGCTCTTTTTGATCAAATACGATGCCATCCGCTGGAATAATGTCGCCCAAATTCACGCAAACGATGTCACCCACTACAAGTCTGAACTTGCTCACCTCTGCAGGCACACCATTGCGAATGACTTTGATTTTCTCATCCTCCATGACGGCATTCAGAGCACGAAACTGCGCCTCTTTCTGGTAGTCGTTCACGGCCGTCACCATTGTTACCACAAGCACCGCAAAAAGGATACAAGCGCCTTCAATCCAGCCTGTGTCTGGGTCATCACTCACGGCGATCGCTAAGATGACCGAGAGAATGCCAGAAATTGATAATATAATAACCGTCATGTCCTGAAAAGCGTCCCACAGATGCTCAATCAAGGTTTTGGCCCTAGGTGGTGTGACATAGTTGGACCCAAACGTGTCTTCACGCCGCTTTAGATCGACACTGTCCATGCTGTTTAGACCTTGATTAATGTCGACACTGAGCAATTTCGCAACACCGCTGACGCCTCCTACCTTGGCAAGTTGTTCGGCTTGGCATTCATGTTTCGTCTCAATGAGCCGGATCAGGTCACCGGTGACAAGTCTGAATAGACCACCAATGGTCTGCTCCATGGTCCCTTCTCTTCCTCTTGCCCGAATGGGTACCTACTGACAGGTAGGGTGTAGTCCAACGTTGAATGCGTTTGTTTTAATGCGTCGGAAAGTTAATACCTACAGTGTCTACCGACTTTCGTTTAGCGTTGTCGGTGTGAGCATTCACGAATCTTATGCACATGAATATCGATGGCTCGATGAAGAAAAACATGAGACAGAATCTTCTTGCAACATCGCATAAGCTATAAAAATAACTTGTGAGCGTTGAAGTTATTCCTGGGATGCTGAAGGATATGAACTCTTTTCCTGACTCGATCTTCGTATCGGTGGCGAAGCGATCCGATTTAAAAAATTCATTGAAAGGGTCCATGTCAGCATGTGATAAGGAGTGCCATGCTCGTGCAAATTTGATGGACTGTTAACTCACTGATTCGGTGGCAAGTTACTGCTGACTGGAACACGTAGTCCCCAACGGAAAGCATTAACGCCATGCTAACGTCGCTTCTCACTTGTTCACTTACTATGTACCGCGTAGCTTGGAGTCAATAAGTCAGCAGTTACTCTGATTACAATCATCACCGATAGTCAGTGCATAAACAAATGTGCATGACCAACCTACACTTCAAGTTGAAGTAGTCCAAGGAAGTCACTTTTTATCCTCCAATCCCTGAACAAAACTCCATAATATTCAGCCAATCCACTAGCATCAGCTTCCCAGCCAACCAAAAGCTACTCACATTACCATTTTGTCATGACGCCCAAGCCTGCGAGCACCAAAAAGCGCAAGGCCGATGACGTGACCGCCTCCACGACGCTTCAAGTGCATCGCTGTCGTTTTGTGGACTGGATGCCTGCGGCTATTCACGCTTTATGCTTCAACGCTACAGGGGATCAGCTAGCCGTGGCTCGAGCCAATGGCGACGTTGAGATTTGGAATGTGGACCCGAAATGGCATCTCAAGTTTGTAATTTTTGGCTCCGAGTCAAGCCAAGTGTCGGCTCTTTGCTGGGAACCCAAGAACAATCGTCTCTTTGTATCGTCGCTGGACGGAACACTGTGGGAGATGGACTTTCAATTGTTGGGAAAGAAGAACGTGACGGATTCCAACGGTGGACCCATTTGGAGCATGGTCATGGACGTTGACAGTCAGCAATTGGCTGTAGGCTGTGAAGACGGACGTATTCGTCTCTTTTCGTACGCGGAGATCAACCAGATCTACTTCAGCAAAGGCTTCCTCACTACTGGAGGACGCGTTGTGTCCCTAGCCTGGCACGCCAAGGCACAGAAGATTTTCTCGGGCAGTGAAGACGGTATTATTCACTGCTGGAATGCTATCACAGGACGAAGTGAGTCGCGGATTACGCTGGAAAATTTGGCCAAGCAAAAAACCGTCATCTGGTCTCTGGTCGTGCTGGATGACTTGACACTTGTGAGTGGAGACTCGACGGGCAATCTCAGCTTTTGGAACGCACCTACTGGCACATTATTGCAAAAGTTTTCGCACTTGACTGCAGATATTTTGGCCATTTGTGTGAGTAAGAACAACAACTCACTGTTCTCGTCTGGTGTGGACAACCAAGTCGTCGAGTTTCGGCGCTCGGTCGCGGAAAGCGGGATGAGCACTTGGGCTTACTCGTACAGCCACCGTGGACACAGCCACGACGTGCGTGCGCTGGCGCTATCGTCCAATAGTAGGTTGATGCTGGTTTCCGGTGGGATTGACACCCAGCTGGTGTGGTACCTCGGCAGCAGATTCAGTTCCATTCGGCCGTCCAAAATAGCGTCCATGCCGTATCCGCATTCAATTGCTCTGGCGAATGAGAAGCGGGTATTACTGGTGCAAAAGTCAACCTCTCTGGACTTGTGGCGACTTGCCACGCAGTCGGCGGCCAGCAGTTTGATTACGCAGAAGCACAAGCTGCTGCTGCAGCTAAATATGGGCGATGCCTTGAACTTGTCATGCTCAGCAATGGCACCTAGCTCGAAATTTGTGGCGTGCTCAAACTCAAGAGAGCTGAAGCTGTTCGAGTTGGATGCTGAGCAGGATTTTCAGCCAAAAAAGGTCACCACGCTGCCGCGTAGTTTGACGGGACCTGCGCGCGTGCTGGCGTTCTCACCAGACTCAACCCGCCTGGTGATCGCGTCGTCGTCGCACCAGATCCGTGTGCTGGATTTAACTAAGATGGAAGTTTTGAAGACGTTTAAGTCTGCTACGCCGGCCCTTGCAGAAGAAGACAGTACTAGCGTGCCGTCTCCACTTCTTTCGCTGACCATTTCCTTAGATGGACAGTGGCTTGCCACAGGTGATGCTCTTAACAACATTGCCATTTACAACCTGGACTCGATGCAATTCTACTGTCAGCTGCCTCGTCCGAGCGAGATGCACACTAACCTGGGCTTTAACCCATCGGGTAAGACTTTGGTTGTAACACTCGTGTCCAACAGCTTCGTGTGTTACGATGTGGAGACCAAGGGCCTCTCGGAATGGTACCGTCAGAACCACGAGCAGTTCCCTAAGGAACTCGTGGAGGGCCGCAATATCAAGGGCATGACGTTTGACCCCGCCAACCCGGACTTTCTCTACCTGTATTCACAGGTGAGTCTCTACCAGATCAACATGAGCAAACAGGCGGACCGATCCGCCACGATGCCGTCCAAGAAGTCTCGCCGTCGTGCAATGAGCGTTGGCACCGAGTCCGACGGCAAGAACGATGCAGCCGAAGGGGAATTGGTAGAGCTGGAGGACGGTTTCTGTCGTGTGGTTAACCGCTACCGCCCGCTGTCGTTCGTCGATTTTGTCGTCGAAAATGAGATGATTATCGTAGAGACTCCGTGGCTGAAGGTGCTGAGTCGCTTGCCTGGTGCTCTTCACCGTCATAAGTATGGCAAATAGATACATAGATCTGTTGCTCTTTGTCTTTGCGTTGGTCCATTTCTTTATCACTTGGGCGCACTTGGCCATAATTTCTAGGTCGAACCCCCAGAGCTGGTTCGAGAAACCCTGTCATTGTTTGTCGCTACTATCATTCTCATTCGTCGTTTCCGACTAAGGTGCAGTCCATGCCTTTGACTATTGATTGCAATGATGACACGACATAGATGTGGTAATTCTCCAATGACATGGATACTATTTGATGGGGTTTTGGCAATGATGTGGCCAAAATTGTAAAGCCACGGATGACATGTGGAGTATAGATGCCATTTCTGAGAAAATGTTACGAGGAGTCCTTTACGACAAGTTTTCTTCTTTGCTAAGTCTTGCAGCCTGTTCTTCAAGCCCAGATATACTTGCTAGTAATAAGTGCTCTACGTTAGAAGAGTGTAAGTCTCTCTTCTCTTACAGATTTGTTCATTTTCACTTGATCAATATTGCATGACAGGTCCATTCAATCACTTTTGCGAAGATGCCAACTGTCATGTTTGAGTGCGCATTCGTTGCGGAAACTTCATTGCGCAGATGTTGAAGTAAAGGGAAACTTCTATGACCATCACTCTGCTTCGATCCTCTTTTTTTTTGGTCAATCATTTTGTGATTTTTCCTATAATATAAGGCCATGGCTATGCTGCCGAAAGGTGACGGATGATTCTAATGGGATGACGTGTGATGTAGGCGATGAGACTGATTGCATGTGTGGATATGTGGATAACACTCAATAGGAGGAATTGAAAAACTGATGCGGGAGGCAGTGGGTGACGATGTAATGATCTCGAAAGAGACGATCGATTGGGTCAACGAGTGCACAGGCAGTATGGCGACATTCGACATTCGACGCTCATTATGATAACGTTACTAACTAAGAGATTGCAGCATTTCTACAGCTGATTGGACAGGAGGCCAATACAGTTGCAGAAAAAGCAGCAAAGAAGGAAAATTACCGCATCTCACACGAGCACGTGATTACTGCGCTCGAGGTAACTCGTCTTATGACTGACTCTAGCGGTGTAAAGCCTTTTGTACTAATACTATTGCTGTATACTGATATAGAATCTTGGAATGCAGTACTATGCTGATGAAATCAAAGCTCTTCAAGGTTCCATGGCGCTAGAAACACAGGTAAACAAGGCCATTCATGCAATGATTGGTAAAGTACCAGTTTTATTAGATGTGATGCTACTGTCGTTGCAGAAAAAGAAAGAGCGAACAGCCTCGCGGAAAACGGCAATACAAACTACCTCGCGCGACGAGTTGTTGGCTGAGCAGACGGCATTGTTTAAACAAGCATCGTTGAAAGCGACAAAGGAGGGGTGGTAAGCAATAGCTTCAGCTATAGCGCTAACAGCGCTGCTACAGCAGAAACGGTAAGCGGTATTGATATTGCAATTAATCAACATGTCGAGCTCAGACAAACAGGAGCATGAAAATGCGTGTGTTTTTGGCAGCGCTCACTTGAATTCAACTACAACGCCGCGGTGATCAGACGCATACACTGGGCTGGATAGGTGCAACATCCCTACGTCCTCTGGAAAGTCCTTCGTGTCTTTGGTAGGTTCCTGACCAATGATCTCGCACTTCTTAACTTGACCTTTACCACGATACAACACAAAGTCGATTCGCTTCGACGGGTTGTCACTGGGAAACGTAAACTTGTACTGACGGTCGTCCACGTCCGTTGACCGAGGCTCAGCTTCCTCATGTACCATCAACCACGCGTCTTTCATATCCGTAGTCTGACCAAACAGCTCGGCTGTACCACTGAGAAAGCGGACACCACGAGACTGCGGCTCTGAATTCAGATCACCGAGAAGCACTTGCGTTTTACCCCGGCCTTGCTGCATGTACTCCCAGATCTCGACCTTCGACTGCTCCCTGGATCGTTCGCTTAGTGACAAGTGAGTCACATACACATCGATTTCGCCCCACTGCGGATAATCAATCACCGCATGGAGGCACAACCGCTGATGTGAGTCATTTGGGTCATTTGGATCACGACTGAGCAGCAAGTAGTCTGTTGAAATGATCGGATGCTTTGAAAAGATAGCTGGCCCTTCTTCAATGCGTTCGTATGGTTTTCTCGAGTTTAAGTAGCTCATCGCTGCCTGATACACGTATTGATACCCAGGCAGCCGATCCGCGAGATGCTTCACCTGTCCGTGGTTACCGGGCTCTCCAAAAACGCCGTCATAACGTACTTCCTGAAAACCGATGATATCGGCTTGTGCATCATTGACAAATTGTACTAAATGGTCTAGCCGTTTTATGTACTGATTCCACCGACGTCCAGCACCATACACGTCGGACGAAGGGTTTGTGTTCCACACATTATACGACAAAATACGCGGCCCGGACGTAGCATCCGAGCATTCGGCTTCTCTATTAACCGATGTTTCGCACCCAAGTACTTCATCTGAGTCTGCATAGGGTAACTTCTCCAATGGTACAAACGTGTGTTGGAATACATTGTGCACCGCTTCACGATCAAGCGCTACCACTACGCGGTGCTTTAAATTAAACTTATTGTCCTCCAGCGTCAGGTAAAAGTTAAAGCCAAACGTCACTTGGCTTGTAAACTGGAACGTCTGGCCGTTGACACCTCTGTATTCCTGCAAAATGAACATCTCCGACTCGCCATTGTCTCCTGTCACTTTCAGCGGAAGCACATTGGCCTGCGTCACTTGAATCTCCGATGAGATATGGACGTTCGCGTGTGTCTTGATGGACTTGACGGCTGCCTCGAAGGCTGCCTGAACGGACGAATCCGTCGTCACATCAGAAGGAAAGATCGGGTCAAGAAGAATACTACCGTAAAGCAGCACATTTTTGGTCGATTTATCGTCATGCAGCTCGAAGAGATTGATGGGCTCAAAGGTTTGGCGTATTAAGTGGATACCACCTGGTTTGGACGATAAGTATCTGTTTGTGAAGGGAGCACCTCCAATAAGCGGCGGCCAGAAATCCCATTGCGGCAAGTGATCAACTGGCATTTCTTGGGCTGTGACGACTGATGAGAAGTCTGCGACGTAGTTAAGCAACGTCATTCCTGCCAGAAGGAGCTGCACGCAGTTCGCCATCATTTTGGAGCTGAGCTTGCGTCAATGTACATCAACTTTACACCATTCAATTGATGTCTGCCACTCGAGGTACATCAGTGTTACACCATTTAGCTACCATCGAAATTATGTCATCAAATATTCAGTCCGAGCTCCTTTTGGCGAGATCAGTTTATTCGATGCAACGACTACTTTCCAATATCACCCTTACATTCTGAGAAAAAACTCATAAACAATTTGTGGTTGACACCGCTTGAGACTTTCGCGATCGTTTTGCCTGTATTTGAAACGTTCCGTGCACACGCGTAACGACATTTTACGGGCTCTGGTCGAAAGCTGGGAAACCAACATTGGTCCAGATGTCTATGCTCTACAAATTGGCATAGCCTACGTCCCAAGCGGTAAAGGGAAAGACGACAGAAAAAGGCTTGACTTTTCAAGCAGATGGTAAAATCCATCAGTCTATTGATGGCGGCATACATTTAAACGTGTTTTACGCCTGGAATCGTGACGAGATTTCATGGGGTCATCCAGATTTACGGTAGTAAGCTCGTAGTCTAGCTGATTCTTAATATGTATAGCTTCTTCGGTTGCTCGCTTGAGCTGAGCTGAGCTGAGCTTCGTGAGCTACCTGTATATATGCAGGAAACGTTCATGAACAGCGTTTCAAACCGCATTTAAAAAATTAGCTACATGTATTTGTAGGAAACGTCTATGGAGCAGCATTTGACGCCTCATTTGAAAAAAACTTGCTACATGTATTTGCAAGAAACGTCTACGTTTGACCACATTCGGAGCGAAATTTCGGCGTGCGATACAGCATTCATCATCATTTAAGAGAGCTCAGATATTATCACTAACTGCTAGTAATTAGTTTGGCTTGACTATGCCACGAAAGCCTCGACTGATACAAAGCTGGTGGTAGTAAGCATCCCCTTTCCAAGGAGTCAGTAGCTCACTTCGAGTCAATATAAATACACACACACAATAAAAAACTGAGACTAGGACAGAAGCAGGCCGTGCATTCGAATTTTAGTACTACCAGTCCTTCCTTAATAATCACACCCAACAATTATGCAGAGCTGGACACTCATTGCGACCATTGTGTCCCTAATTGACTTGGCTGCTGCATCAGGTACCGTCTCTATTTACAATATTGATGATCCAATGTTCGGCACGTGTCGTCTCAAAGGCATTTCAGCCTCAAGTGACAATTTCAAGTTGTACGCATCCGTGTCTAATAAAGACTTTGTACCGAATGAGGCCTGCGCCCGCTGCATTACCGTCAAGCGAGCCGATGATCCGACCAAAACTGTATCGGCCTATGTGCTTGATATATGTGACGGCTGTGCAAAGGGTACTTTACAGCTCTCGGGAGACGCGATGACAGCTCTGGATATCGCACAGACCGATACAACCACGAGGGTCTCGTACACGTTTGATACGTGCCCTGCGTCGCTCATGTCGGGTGACATTAAGGCCTGCTTGATGGAAGGCGGCTCGTCCACGTACGTGCCGCTGCAGTTTTACAACTCGCAGAAGGTCATCACCGGCGCGACGATCGACGGCGTCGCCGCTAAGAAAATGTCGTCCAGTTTCCTATACTCGGCAAACCCGGGCTCACCGTCCACTTCGTGGTATAAGAGCGTCGACTTTACGGTTACGTCGGCCGACGGCGAAACTCTGAACGGCAATTTTGCATTTGCTAACACGTCTGGATGTGCCACATCTGACGTGCAATTTTACTCGCCGTCGGCACCTGGCGGTGCTAATGGAAGCACTGGTGGGTCGAGTGGGGCTATCATTGGCGCTATTTGTGGCGTCATTGGGGCGCTGTTGATCATTGTGGGATTGATCTTCCTCGTTCGGCGTCGCAAACGGGGGAAGTTCTTGGATGGTACGGAGAACGACGTGGAGAACCAGTATTTGTCGCCGACATCAAAGCCTAAAGCTGCACTGGCTGCCACCTTCCGATCGGACCATAACGACCACCAACCTCTGGCTTCACCCACCGCTGACTACGCCGAGACATTCTCACCTGATACTAAAGTAAGGGTTCCTGGATCACAAATGCAGAACGTAGGCTCACATGTGTCGTCGCCTGTGATCGCTGCTGCCGTTCCAGGTGCGGCCGTTGCTGTTTCGGTTGCTGTGGACTCTTTAGGTTCGTCCGACCCCTCGTCGACGGCTTCTGCGTCCAACCCGCGTGAAGTATCAGTTAAGCGCTCTCCTTCGCCGAAACCTGTTAATGCTGTCCCGACCTTTGCATTTAGCAACAACATGACCACAAGTCCTCATAGCTTGACTGTATCGAACGCAAAGGATGCGCCTACGCTAACTGCTCCTGTTGTGCCTACCCAGTCATTGCGTACTGGGTTTTACGATGATGATGCTGAAGAGGAGCGCTCAAGTTTTGACATTGACGACATGCGTGAAACGGAAGCCCGTGCGACTTCGACGCGCCCCATGGACTCACAGCCGTCGTTCACACCGTACATGTCGGCTGGCCCGTATGCCAACACAATGACGTCTCCCCAAGGTAATTCACATGCCACGAGCCTGCGTCGTCCAAGTTCCAAACAAAGGACGTCTGGCCGTGAATCAGGTCAGTACAACAATGACAGATCAAACCATTCCCCAGCACAAGACGATTTGCTCAGCGCGCGTCCGAGCCACTTGACTAACGCTGACTCGACGACGGACTTGCCACTTCGAGACAGCGATGCTTCTTTCCCTGCTCTGCAGAACACAGATTCATCTACATCGCAGCACAGTCTGGGCTCAACGCGTGAGAGCGGCGGTTACAGTCGTGAGTCCTTGAATATCCTGGGCTACCCATACTCGAAGAAGAGCGGACGTCACCACAACCTTACAGGTTAGCTTTCTGATGCATTGACTGACCGTGTTACTACCACGTGTACACTGGCATGGCAGCAGCTTCCTGTGCGCAGCTGATGGTAGTTGCATGCACGTACTAGCAGCAGTTCACAGGAAGTTGCTCGCCTCCGTGGCTTTTGTATTGTACGATATGCGGAGTACATTTCTAAACTATATCGTGTGTATTTTTGCTCTTCGTGTGTCATGATCGACGGTCTCACAGAGATGCAGTTCTAGGGAATTCGGTACATTATCATTTTGAGTGGCTTCGCACGGGACGAACAAGCAAGTATCATTCAAAGAGATTTCATGTAAAGCTCAAGCAAAATGTGAGAACAAAACGCTCGTCATGGCGCTTGAGACACAAAGTGACTGACTGGACGCCACCTGCGTCTCTTGCTTGACCCAAAAACATGTGAAGTTTGTTTGTACATTGGTGTTATTTATAGTAGGACTACGTTGGACGCGTTCGGAGCGAGCACGAAAGGATGGATCATCCATGATATTATTCCTTTCGTCAAGATCATGGTCTCTTTCTGTAGTCGTGTGAGCAGTTGATACACCGCATGTTGGTCCTATGCTGTTGAACTGGCTTTAACCACATTCCACCTGCTACACTTATCGACATAAAGAGACGCCCACTATCGAAAGAAAGTATCAATGTTTGAGAACAACCTTGTGCGTTTAAAGCTACTGACGTGCATGTGAGCTACTAAAACTCCAATAAGTTATAACCAGCGTAAAGTAGTAGTGCTCTATACCCGATAACTTGTTATAACAGATAAATGGCATTGGTGTTAAAGGTATTAGTTTAGACAAGTTCTTCTGTACTATGGAGAAGAGTATCCATTTTGGCTTTTATATCCCCTCTCAAAACTGTTACTGCACGTATCCAAGAGCTCATTCTAAAACTACTAATGGCTACACACGGAGCTTTCTTGGCACCAGTGCTAGTGCCTCTTAACAGCTGCTTTGTGAATTTACCTCTTGCTTTTGTGCAGACATTCTTGAGTCGCCCAGAACTCGTGCGTCTTTAGCCAATGAGTCTCGTATTAAAACGTCATTTTAATCCTAACTTTTAGATAATTCTTACCTGTAGATGGGCCCTGGATCGATCATTCTAGAGTTATCCTGGGAGACGATAGATGGATATATACAGCGTGTATGTGTTGGATGGATTGGAGGCATCATTAAATACAGAACATTACGCAGGTCTTTGCTGTTAACTGCTGATACAAAACGTTACGACGTGTGTTTTAACGACGAGTTTGTATTGTTTTTTATGCTTTTCAGCGACGTTATTGAAGTGCCGATTGAATTTGCACGTTGTGTAGGGATTGTAAGTGATGTGTCATATTGGATACAAAAAGTCTGCATGAAAGATGCTAAGTTGATGATGAATTTACTACTTTATAGCAAGATTATCTGGACAAGACACCACAGTCATATATTGGAGTTCATGTCATAGAAACGCTGCCAATTGCTCGACAAGTGAATGTTGAGCCTTGCACGCCTGATGACTGGGAGCTGATTCAACTGCATGCGGGAGCTATTGAAACAGAGCTATTACGACAGGTGCCGATCGCTCTCGAAAGGGTGACGTTTGCATTGTCTGAACCTTGTCACATGGATGCAATGACAGATGTGTGTCGTCAACGAAAACCAAGTGAGCCCAATCTGGATTAATCAGCACACGCTTATTCGAGTTAGGGTTTCTCTCTCGGTTGGGATGTACGTCGACTTTGTACTACAATGTATGGATATTGCTGCTCCTGAGTACACTGAATTTGATGCTGTTTCGTGGAGCTAATAGGGAACATGCTCGATTGACTCCTGCCTCGGAAATTATTGTTGCACCAAAAGAACGTCCACCTCAGGCGACAGATAACGGATTAAGCCGCGATCTGTATTATGAACAATCACTGCCGTTACTCGTTCAAGTAAGATATCGGTTGTAGCGAAGCAGTGTCGTTTGTTTTTTTACTAACTAATGGTTTTTGAGCTGCTCACAGGTCGATGTAGATGCACTTCAAAACGATACGGTTGACGAAGTATGGGTTCATCCAGAAAGCCTGGTGATGCTTGATGGTGCATTATTTCCGAACGCACCTGCAGATGCACAAGAAGCTTCTGTTGTGGTGTTATGGTGTCCAGAATCAAAGCCGATTACCGAAAACAACGAGCAGTCTGAGGCTGCAAGGTAGGAGCCTATGTCTTACGTGAAGTGATTTACCGAAATACTAACGGTGCACTTCGTTACAACTGTAGAAAACAACCTATCTGTTGTGTTGCTAGGCTGAAGGCCTGTTCTGGCGTCGTACGGGGTCATATCATTCCCAATCGAGGCGTGATAGCTACTTTGGGCATCACGACTCATGCATCTGTCTATCTTCGCGTTTTGAGAGTACCAGAGCTCTCTCCTACTTCGGTGACGTTATGCGTGAACTTAGAGAGTCATGACGAAAGCCACTCTGCATTAGCTGATCGAATTCGGCAGTCATTTTTGCGCTGGGCCAGCTCGGCTGAACACAGCCACATTATTTGCTCAGGATCGGTCCTCCGTCTTGATCTGGATAACGAAGAAGTCATTCAAGCTATTGCTGAAGTTCAATACGATGCTGAAGAAACATTTAGCGTGAAGCAGCTGGAGGGTAATGCCTGAGGGTTTGATATTGCATGCACGTTATAACATGACGAACATCTTTGCTTACAATTGTATTTGTTGCAGATATTCCTGTCGGCGCATTACACAAGTACACCGTATTGGGTGGAAGTAAAGGTGGTTACGTTTTATCGATGGACGAAGTTGCTGTGCAAAATGCAGTGGGCACCCAACGACAAGTCCTAGAGAAGCTGCAGACCCGGGTTTTGTCCACTAGAACGTTGAACATGTCAATCGTGGAGCTATCGCGCAGCGCAAAACCCTATGCTATGTTGATGAAAGCTGTGCGCCCTGTCTTGTCCCGAGATGCATTAGCAGCGCGAGTGTTAATGGGTGTAAAACCTCCTGGGTGCGCCTTGATTTATGGTGAACGAGGCAGTGGCAAATCGACTTATCTGCGCGCTATAGTACATGATATTCAAAGTTCGTCAAAATTTGCTGCTTTTGCAACAACGGTCGAGTGCAGGAACTTGCGAGGTCTCAAAATGGAGGCTGTCAAATCACGACTGACTGACCTGTTCAAAGAGGCAGCCACGCACGCTCCTGCACTGATCGTCTTGGACAACTTGGACGCACTGGTACCTGAAGAAAATGAGTCAGCAGGTGCAGCTAACGAACAATCGCGGCGTATCGCGGAACTATTGCTGGTTTTAATGAATCATAACTGCCAGCGCATGCAGAAGTCCACAGGCGAGTTGAATGCGTCTTTCAAGCGAGAATGTGAAGCCATTAATGGTTTGCCTCACAGCCAGAAAAAGAGTGCTCGAAAGAAGCTGCTTGAGACGATCGGCAGCGCCATGCAGAGCAAGAGTGTGGCTATCGTCGCAGCTGCTCGGTCCGACACGAGCGTTCACAAGACGTTGCGAGGCTGCGGGCTCTTTGACCGCCCCATTCGAGTGTCTTTACCAGATGCAGGGCGGCGAGAAATAGTGATACGCGAGATGCTGCAAATGAAGGTAAATGCTGCGAATTCTACTCGTAAAGGAGCGAAGGGTTCACGGGAAATTGTTATCGACCCTTCCATCGATTTTGGACTTCTCTCATCCCTGACGGAAGGGTACAGTCTCCGTGATTTATCAGGCGCCACGGATCGTGCCTTGCATCAAACGTATAAACGCCACGCTCTACTGCAACCTGCGAAAGGTTGTGAAGTAGCCTACAAGGTACAGCAAAGCGATTTTGTGAAGGGTATTGAAGACTTTCAACCGACAGCATTAATCGGAGTCGATCTTTTCAAAAGCTCTGTCAAATGGAGTGATGTTGGAGGGCTAAAACAAGTACGAACAGTACTAAAGGACACGCTGGAACTTCCTACTCGCTATGCAAAATTGTATGAAAGCACACCAATAAAGCTTCCAGCTGGGATGCTGTTGTATGGGCCTCCTGGATGCGGAAAAACTCTGCTTGCTAGCGCTGTAGCGCACGAATGTGGCTTGAATTTCATCAGTGTGAAGGGCCCAGAAGTTCTGAACAAGTACATCGGTGCCAGTGAACAGGCCATTCGCGACTTGTTTGCGCGTGCTGGCTCGGCAGCTCCGTCAGTGCTCTTTCTTGATGAATTCGATTCAATTGCTCCCCGTCGCGGTGCCGATAACACCGGTGTCACCGACCGTTTGGTGAACCAGTTGCTTACATTCTTGGATGGAGTGGAAGCCCAAAAGGTAAGTAAAAGTGCATCAAACAATGCTGAAAGTTTGCTGTACTTGGACCAACTTGAAATGATGTGATGTGGAATTCAAGGGCGTCTACGTACTAGCAGCGACGAGTCGACCCGATATGATTGACCCAGCACTTCTTCGGCCAGGACGTCTCGACAAATCTCTTTACTGCGGTACGTTTGGCTCGCAAGTCCATTTTTCACTGCATGATCAAGCAACTGATGTTGCTGTATGTATTGAAATGTCGAAGGCTTTCCGAATGAAGAAGAGCGCTTGGATATTCTTCGTGCCGTATCGAAGGACATGGATCTTTCCACCGAAGCACTTGAATATCTTTCTGAAATTGCAAGTGATCCAAAGAGTGCTCACTTTTCTGGTGCTGACTTGCAGGCTGTGCGTACGAGTATCTTGCTCCTGTGATCTCAATTGATGCTAATTTTTCAATCTCTTGTCACCCGTAGATCATGTACTCGGCCCAGCTAGAACTTGTGCACGAAAAGCTCAATGGCGACAACTCCACGTACGTTTCATATTGAATGCTCTTCTTTCTCACAACTCTTTTTTTCTCTGACTGTCTATTTTGTAATGAATGATCTCTCGTTTGGCAGTCAAATTACCAAGGCACATGTACAGATGTCATTCCAACATGCCAAACCATCGACGTCTGATGCTGCTCGTCTCGAATTGGAGCGCCTGTTTTCCAACTTTTCCAAGATCCGCAAGACTGATTTCTCAATTGCAGACGCTACTGTCTCGACTACCAGTGAGTTGCTCAAGTCACATATTGCACACCAACGTACAGCTCTTGCCTAAGAAACGTCATAAAACCTAAATGTAGCCATCTCGTGCTCTTGAGAGGGTCTGCGTATCGTCACTCTTTCGAAACCTCTTTGTCGAATTATAGTCACTCTTTTGAAATCAAGTAAAAAAACATCTTTTAAGAGCTCTAGGAAGAAGAAGATGGTGAACATCGTAGGGCTCTCAAGTCTCAACGGCCGTAACAACGACGACCGTCGCCAGGATAGGGATCAATCCAATCAATATTATGCCGGTGGTGCTTCGGATCGTGGTGGAGGTAGTGGTTTATCGGTTATTGGCCCAGGAAATGGCAACGATCACGTGGCAAACATTATCGGTCGTGCTCAGCAGGACGCACGTGCTGCTGTCGTAGCTGGCGACTCGACGCAGCCTCGACACGTGATCACTTTTTACAGGGAAGGATTTACAGTGAATGACGGTCCGTACCGTGCACGCTCGGACCCGTCGAATCGGCTGTTCTTGGAGGCACTGGAGCAGGGCCATGTGCCACAGGAATTGGAAGGTGAAAACCGCAATGAACCCGTGGAAATTAGTCTGGTAGACAAGAGAGAGGAGAATTATGTGGCACCACCACCACCTGCTTATACGGCATTCAGTGGAGAGGGACAGACAATGGGCTCAAGTACATATGCAGCTGAAGCGGTGATTCAAGGAGATGCCCAAGTGGCGAAACGTCCGATGATTGACGACAAGAAACCGACCACAACGTTGCAGATTCGTCTGCATAATGGTCAACGGTTGAGAGAGACACTGAATTTGGATCATTCCATTCGTGACTTGCATGCGATTATTCGACTGTATGTGGATTCGTACTGGGAAGATGGAGGAAGTTATTGTTGACTATTGCTTGTTTGGCAATGATATTGACGATGATTCTTTCTTTGTTGGTGCTTTGAATGCAGGAATGATGCTGGAACACAACCGTACACACTGTTGGCTGGTTTTCCACCACGACCCGTGTCTACGGACCTGGATCAGACGATTGAACAGGCCGGACTTAAAGGTGCCGCTGTCACTCAGAAGCTCATGTAAAACAGTTGCTAGACTGCAATCACACAGTTACATGGTAAGTATCTGAAGCAGTAGCAATCCATGTCGCAGGTAGTGAACAACCTCTTTGGACAGCGGAAGCAAGAAGAGGTGCGACAAGAACATGGTCATACAATCATTGTCAATATCCGTTTCGCGATTACCTGACACCACGAACATTTTCTTTTTCATAACTAGTCTATCTACTTTGTAGAAACGTCATGGCTGCAGCACCTCCAAGACGTAGTAGTATTAGTACAGCCAAGGCTTTTGTAGGGCAGATTTACATTGCATTGCAGTCCTCGATCCGTTCTACCCCTACTATTGATGGTATCGACTGCTTTCGTCTCTGGGTTCAGGTCGTAAAGCTCATGCCTCTTCTCCCCCCCCCCCTCATTTAGACACATACAACTCACTCTATTGTTTTCTTGCATACAGGGCATCGTGATTGCCACGTCTGAAGATCGAAATCAATGCACAGTAGATGACGGCACTGGCATTTTGCAGCTAGAGCTCAAGATTTTCCTCAAAAATGCACCTCCTGGTATCGATGCTCGACCTCGATTGGGTCAGTGCTGAATGCAGTTTTGACTGACACCACTTGATGCCGACTGACTGATTCGTTTGTTGCACAGGTGACTACATTATGGCCATTGGTCCGATGCAGAAGGTAAAGGCAGACATTGACGTCTCCGTACGCACATTGTTGGCGCATCAGGTTGTCAAGTTGGACGCCAAGTTACAACGCGAACCAATGTGGTATCTGGAAGTGATCGAGTATTGGACGTCCGTCGTGCAAAAGAATCCCACTACTGCATAGACATCATTGAGAAAATTATAAACATTTGAACGCAGGAGTGACAGGGTTCGCAGCTGTACATGCACTTTATCCATCCTTGATGAAAATGATAACGAGCTCACTGACTGCGGTGCGCTAGTCTCACCTGCTTGGAAATCTTCCGTCGAGATTTCTTCTTCTTTTTCTGTTTTTTTCTTCTTCTTCAATTGCTTCACACGTCATAGCAGCAGCAGCATGACCATTAGAAGCTGCTCGAGTGATAACACCAAGTTACTCGTCCTTGGGCTTCTGACCCGACTTCTTGGCCTCCGACGCAGACGGCACACGAGGCGGGAGTTGCTCATTCTCTCCATCTTCCTTCGCTTCTTCTTCCTTCTCGTCAAGTACCTTCTTGTACTGTCCAACATCATCTACGCCAAGCCAGTAGTCCAACACAGCCACCAAGATGGCCACAATAATGGCGATCGCCAAGATACCTGCCAAGACAGCCAGGATTGTGTGTTCAGAAGCCCACTCAATGACAATGTCCACAATTTTGGAAAAGAAGCCTTCCTCCGGCACGGGGCCAGTCGATTCTGCCGTCTTCCAGCCGCTCTCCACAAAGTCAAGGAATGCAGGGAGCGAGCGTCCGCCCTTGTATCTATACACTTGTCCATCATTGATATAGAAGAGGGATGGGTAGCCATTTACACCAAAGCGTGAGCACACTCGACGATGAACGGTGCAGTCTACTTTCGCGACCTTTGTCTTGCTGTCATTCTCCTTCAATGTCCGACTCAATTTGTTCCAAGTAGGTGCCAAACGTTTGCAATGGCCACACCATGGAGCATAAAACTTAATGAGCCATGGTTCTTTACTATTCAGTACTTGTTCTTCAAACAAAGTCGTAGTAACGTGTACAACTGCACTCTTGCGTTCATTCTCCTCTTGTTCAATCACTGCAGCTTTCCGTTGCTCAATAAACTCTGTATAGCTCAAGACAGGCTCTCCAAACTCTTTTTTATAACCTTCAGTTACAAATGCGACCATATGGGGCACATCTCGACGATTATTGTAGTCGTACGATTTCCCATCAGCTATGACCTTGAGGGTAGGGTACGAGCCAACACTAAAGCGTTCACAGACACTTTGTTCCATGGTACAATCCACTTTTGCCACGTTTACGTTCGTATCCGAGAGACTGTCAGTCGTCGAGAGTTCATCGATTAAAGGCGCGAGTTTCTTGCAATGGCTACACCATGGTGCATAGAATTTAATAAACCATACACCAGTACTTGTTTGGTGATCAAAAGTAGCTTCAGTTAGAGTCACAGGCTCGGCTTGTGCGCCATAAGAGGTCAAAACAAAGGCCGCAAGCACCAGGAACGCACTCTTGGACGACGGCATGGGGAGGATTTGGATTTAACGTGGTGTACACCACATATGCTCATCTCTTCTAAATAATTAAATTAAATGCAAAAATTATTATTTATTTTACTTACGTCATAATACGTCATAACTGCTATAATTGTTTGTTTTAACTACTTAACGTTTGGTGGTATTATACATGTATACGTTTGTCAATCCATGTATGTATACGTTTGTCATTTTGTGTAGCAACAAGTCGAGATGACCCTGACGCCACTACCTCCTGAATGGCTCGTACGTATATCTCGCTCGAAAGGTAAAATCTACTATTATCATCCTTCCACGAATAAAACACAGTGGTCCCGTCCAATGATCAACGATGTGATTGCAACGGCAACGCAGAACGAAATCACAGCACCCTTTCAAGAGAAGAAGACGGTCGAGGGAAGGAACAAGCGTTTTAAACTCGATCAATTGGAATCTTTCGTGTCTGTGGCTGTAGAGAAACAAGAAGAAAAAGACGTGCTGGAGGCTTTAATTGTCGCGTCGATGCGTGTTGGAGGCAGCTCCGTGACTCATGGAACCAAGAGAGTGATGGTGTTTACCCCGTGGTCGCATCAATTGACAGCAGTGACGAACGTTGTGAGATCGATTCAAAAACGGACAATTGAGGACCTTCAAGTGTCTACAGAGACAGAGAGATATTTATTGCAACATAGTACAGGTGCAGGTAAAACACTGACAATTGCAGCATTGACCCATCAGCTGCTGTATGTGAAGGACGCTCGGTCCGTGCAGTTCCACACCGTTGTGGTCATGCTAGATCGAGTCAAGCTGAACGAACAGGTGGGAAATGTAGTAGAGAACTATTTGAAACGGAATGGTATGGACGAAGTGTTTCGAGCTGAGAGCATCGAGCACTTGGCCAAGTTGCTGGATGTCACGACATGCACGCAGCAGCAGAGTCCACAAAGAGTGATCATCACAACAACACACAAGATGGGGCTGCTAGTGAGAGATGATGTTCTGCTGACGAGATTACTGCATCGTAGCTCGAGAAAAGCTGGCAACAATGAAGAGGAGGACGAAAGTGAAGACGATAAGTTCCAACGGGTAGCGATCATCGCAGATGAAGCACACCGGTCGCACACGTCTTCTACACGTGACGCTATCGAAAAAGTTGTGAAAGCAGGAAAAGGCAGCCATGCCCAGCTTACGGTAGGATTGGAGCTCATTTACCAAATTGGGTTGATGTGTGATCTAAAACTGACTTGGTGCGCGAGTAGTTTATTGGCTTTACAGCAACACCAAACACTGACGCACTCGAGCTGTTTGGTTCTCGATTACGTAACGGATTTCGTCGTCCCTTCCACTGCTATCCCATCGCGCAAGCCACAGCAGACGGCCGTATCATGGATATGCTAAAAGACTACACGTGTATGCACTGCGAGATTGAAACCTCCGTGTTTCCCATGCATGTACAAGAAATGTTACGGACGCATCGTGGCGCTAGACGTCGTATCCTTGACTATGCAAATGATGATGTTGCCATTCTCAAAGCCAAGGCGCTGCTTATGATGATGGATTTTCAAGCCATGAAAGGGATACAACCGAAAGTGAAGTGCATGATTGTGGTGCGTAGTCGTCGGGACGTTGTGCGCTATTACACGCTCATCACCACATTTGTCGCAAAGAAAAAGCTTGGCTGGAATTGTTACGCTGCTTTCAGTGGCGTCGTGACTTTAGAAAGTGAAGATGGAGTTTCAAACTCCGTCACAGAGCCGACTTTAAATCATCGGAGCGTCACACTAGCTATCAGCGATGTCATTATTGTCTGTGACAAGCTAGACACGGGCTTCAATGAGCCCTTACTCGCGTGCATGTACGTTGATCGCTACTTGCGCTCCAGTGCACGCACTGTTCAGCTTCTAAGTCGTCTAAATCGTCGTCACAAGGACAAGGTCAGCGTCCGCGTCCTGGACTTCGCAAACCATGCAGCGCAGGTGCGACGGAGCTTCGCAGACTTCTGGCGAGAAGCTAAGGCTTCGATATCGGTTGACATAGTTGACGAGACTGCTGAGCGACTAGATCTAGTAACATCCATCGTTGTTCTGTGCGACCACTTCCCGGAGCTTCGCTCTGCACCGATCAACATCGAGGATCCGAGCACTTTTGTATCCGAACGTGTAGTGTCAATGGAGCGCGACGCTTTTCAGCAAGTGATTGATGCGCTTCGCGGGGCTGTGTTATCCTTCAAAAGGCTAGAGCAAGTAGGATGCTCGGATTTCTTTGGGTTGATGTCCCCATTCAGGTACGTCCAGCGTTAAACGTGGAGGCCCTTGCTTCGATTTGAATCTCGTTGTTGTTTCTTGTGATGTAGCTACTCTTTACTTTGCGAGCTCAAGAAAGAGACAGAAAGCCATGTTGTCGCCGTAGAGGAAGACGTTGAGCCGCTTCTCGAGAATATCAAAACTAAGATGTCGGCCCGGCTCCAGAAGTGCAGCAGGTCCTTCTCTGGTGCTCTTTACCCACAATCGTTGTTGGTAAGTTGCCAAGCTGCGAGAAATGATGCGTTGTCAATTTCTTGCATTTTTATTTTGCAAGTGTCCTTACTTCCAAGTGTATGCATGTAGGACCGCGTGGAGTGTGGAAACAATGTATCAAAGCTGGCATCATGTCTGCTGCAATTTGGAGAGCAGGAACGTTTTGAAGCTCTTCTTCTGATGACCTCGGCTCGAAACAACCAGCAGTCTATTGACCCCTCAGTTCTGACACAAGTAACCAAGGCAGCTAATAAGTGCTCGGACCTGGCTGCATCTATGAAAGATACTGCAGAAGCTCAACCGCGCATGTCGGCGCAGATCGATGCAATGCAAAAAGAGCTCGCTGCATTTCTGCTGAGTAACTAACTGGTTGACAAGCTCACTCTCGTCACCGCACTCGTTTCATTTTCTCTGGTACCCACTTGTAGAGTACGTCGAACTCCTTCCTATGACTGGAGATATATATATGAATGTTCGCGTCGGGGTAACGGATTAGCACATCGTTCATTTGACTTGTTGGCGAATGTCGCTACCTGCAAAAATGGATAAAATATGGACTCACCGCGGCAATTTTATAAAAGTTAATGCGTCCTCAGTGTTATCAGCCTGATGTACAAGCTGATAACCTTTCATAACGAATAGCATTAAATTGAATCAATTCTAATGTTGTACGTACCTTGTGTATGTTTCTAGATTCACAACGACTCCTGTATTATCTTATTACCTCATTAACTTACGTTTAAAGAAACGTTGCAGTCGATAAGAGATGACCAGCACCTTGAATTCAGGTACGAACGTTGCGCCCGCCAAGCCGTGGGAGAATCGACCGATTGCTGCTGCTCAAACAGGTACATACCATCATTCTTACTTTATTTATCTCTTTCGAATGACCAACATTCTCTTCATTATACGATAGATGGCAATGCATCTGTTGGTGTTACTCCTCAGTCTACAGTCTCCATGGCTCCTTCTCGATTACTTCCTAGTAACAATAATATCGCAGCTCCATCTACTTCGACTTATGGAGTCGCAACGGCGTCTCCGTATGGAGCTTCAGGGTACGGAGCTTCAGGGTACGGAGCTTCAGGGTACGGAGCTTCAGGGTACGGAGCATTGGGGTACGGGGCTACGGGGTACGGAGGAGGTTATGGTGGAGGTTACGGAGGGATGAGCTCCTACGGTGGACTTGGAGGGCAGGGGAGTGGCTATGGAGGTGGTTATGGCAGTGGCTATTGCAGTGGTTACGGAGGCATGTCGTCGAGAATGGGGTACAGCAATATGGGCATGATGGACCCGAATGCTGGAAGTCTCGGTTGGCTCTCGAGTTTTAACCAAATTGTCAGCTCCATTGGCCATATTACGGAACTATTGGGGATGAACGCAGAGGCACTCAACTTTTGCATTGGTGAGAGCTATAACCTTTGTATCTTTGACTGTCAAGAGGTTGTGTAGTGTGCTAACAAGTGAGTTATGAACTGCAGGGAGCTTTGTCCATTTTCTGGAGCGGATAGGAGCCATGTGCGCTGGCACTGCAGCCATGTTGGCACCTCGTCCGGTCTTCCCGCCTGGCCACCCACGACATGGCGAACCACCAGTGACTGAAGAGGAAGAGAAGAGTCGGAAACGCCGAGTACGCATTTTTCAGTTCATGGTGAGCATGACGGCACTTGCGCTGCTGTCTAAAGGATTGCGGTGGCTTGCGAGGCTACGGCTCAAGACGCCGCATAAGCTACTAGTCGCGCCACCATCCGACGGTATTGGCCAAGATCTGGAGCATATTTTCCAGCGTACAGTGGGCGTCACACGCTTGTGAGCAGGTATGACAGATTCGGTAGTTGTAGACAAATCCTGTTTGCCGGGGTTCAAGCAAGACGCAGCAAGGTTTGGGCTGATTTATATATATTGTCAAGCTCTTGGTCAGATCGCGCGTGTTTCTGCCGCTTATCTTCCGCTTGCTTGGGTGCAGTCTATATCCATCGCTGAACGGAGGAATCAGCGCCACTTCGTCTCCGTCCACCAGTGCCACGTCGTCCTCCGAGTACTCAAGGTTATGCGCTAGTGTGATGCTCTCGATGGTGGATGCAGCGTGCGGGTACTTGTCGACCAGCAGGCGCCGTAATGAGGCCAGCGTGGCGCTGCTCCTGTCCGGAAGCTGCAGCTTCTCCTCACGCAGACCAATTTCCTCCCGCGTCGACGCGAAGTACAGCACTTTGATCTCCATCCTTGCTAAAAGGACGCGTTATGCGTAGTTGGCAGTTGGTGTAGAGCACATGGAAGTGACAGATCGAGGGGATCTTTAAGAGGCGCACGGAGGTTGATTGAAAAAAAAATCAAGGCAGTGGATGAAGCTGCGGCAGCCATAAGCTGAGACGTTTCTGAGCTAGGTGGTCCTAGCGACAACTTACATTACGGCTGAAATTGACCAGCGAGAGGATAATGTATTGGCAAGGAGTGTAGTCTATGTGGCAGCGGTGGAAACGAAATGCAGAGCTCCAGGAAAGAAAGTGCCCTCGTCGTTTTATATGTAACGGGCTCAACGTTACACGTACCCGTTAAGTATGCGATACTTAACGGGCAGGTCTAAAAACGTACGCAAGTACCTGTCGCTCGGGTGAGACACACCATGTGTCACACCCTTGCGTATGTGATATACACTATGTGTATTCACATTGATGGGGATGACGCCCAGCTGAGACTAGGCGTCATCAATTGACGTCAGTCAGTTACGTCATTGAGCGAGCTTAAATATATTTATGCTCGCACTTTGGGATGCGCATCTAAAGAGATGGCACCCATCATTACATATATTTCCAATCAGTAGTTAGATTTATATTTAGTTAAATTCTATTAAATATATAATAGTCTTGAATTTGCTAAATCAAAAGCACCGCGCACGAGAAGCTGTAAAAAGCTTCTGCGTGACGCGATGTTTTCTTGTTAAAAAGTTCATTGCACTCTCGCTTAGGCGAGAGGCAACTGGTAGTACGACTGCTTAAGCAGTCGACCAACCACACAACCACCCTCGCACTCGAAGGTAAGACGGTCTAACCGCTTCCTCGCTTGTGCGTAAGGTGTGTGCTCGTAGTACGTGGCAGCTTCGTAGAAGTGCCCGTCTACACTTGGTAGCACTAGAAGTCCTTCCCACGACCCATCTCTTTAAGCGTGCGTGTGGTGAAGTGCTAATTTTGTGATGTGGAGGTCCCGGACTCCAGTTGGATTCGGAGTATAGGCCGTGGGTCAGGGACAGGGGACCAGAGAGACAGGGGCCTCAAAGGGGAGCGACCGTTGGTGGAGGACAATCCGCAGGATTCGCCGAAGAAAAATCAGTATCAGGGTACCGGTTAACCGGTACCAAAGGGAGTTGATCATGGCCGCTCATTGATCGACCTGGCCCCTCGTTGGTAGACCCGGGTCCCTCATCGGTCGACCTGGGTCCCTCGTTGGTAGACCCGGTCCCTCGTCGGTCGACCCGGTCCCTCGTTGGTCGACCCGGTCCCTCATTGGTTGACCTGGGTCCCTCATTGGTCGACGCGGTCCCTCATTGGTCGACGCGGTCCCTCATTGGTCGACCTCGGCCCCTCGGGGTTCAGCGACTCCGGACCAGTTAATACAAGGATCAGATCAGTCGACGCAAGGAATCAGAGCTTCAGGCAAGGATAGAGTAAAGGAGTTAAAAGGATAGGACTATATTAAATACTACTCAATTTGCGATCTACGTGGCACGACTCCGTCACTTGTTCTAAGTTACTCACTGTTCCGGGAAGGGATATATTTTGGCCCCCCGTCAAAGACAGTTGCGTAGCGAAGTTCAAGGGCGAATAGAGCTCCAGGATATATTTGGCCTGTGAGCTCGTTCGAGTAGCAACACCCCCCAAGACCCGCTATCGGAAGCGGTCTCCCTCACCTCAAGGTCCGGGAGCAACGTAAAGGTCAGGTGGTTAATACCCCTGAAACAGAAGGAAAAGGCCAGGGACGACAAGCGCCCCTGAAGAATTTGGCTCTAAGTCCACTCTCGACAAGGTCGATCGAGTGGCCACCTACCGGCCCACCGAGTGAAGCATATCCACTCGAGGCCCCCCAAATCTACCTCTCTTAAGGCAGACATCTACATCGTCACCAAGTCCTTCGAAGAGTGCAACCCGCCAGCCGACGGGTACACAAGGTGAGAGAAGGTTCATACGCGGCATCGGGGTAACCCCTCCGACAGTCGGCAGTCCGGCACAGTGAGTGGTTTGGGGTCTCATCATACAATTTTGAGAACCCACTCCACCACATGCGTGTGGATACGGATATCCCTCAACGTAACTTGGGGGGTTCCTCATCTCTCCCAACATCATACGAGTTGGAATAGCATTTAGCGCAGGCAATTGGTGAACAAGCCCTGGCCAACCTCTTCAATTGTCCTCCTGAGCAACATGTTGCTTAGTTGAAGCATATTTGAAGCGTTTGTGCTCGGACAGCGTAGAAACGCGTCCGAGGCAAACAGCCAATCTGTGGTGGAGTGGGTTCTCAAAAGTGTATGATGAGACCCCAAACCACTCACTGTGCCGGACTGCCGACAGTCGGAGGGGGTACCCCGATGCCGCGTATGAACCTTCTCTCACCTTGTGTACCCGTCGGCTGGCGGGTTGCACTCTTCGGAGGACTTGGTGACGATGTAGATGTCTGCCTTAAGAGAGGTAGACCTGGGGGGCCTCGAGTGGATATGCTTCACTCGGTGGGCCGGTAGGTGGCCACTCGATCGACCTTGTCGAGAGTGGACTTAGAGCCAAATTCTTCAGGGGCGCTTGTCGTCCCTGGCCTTTTCCTTCTGTTTCAGGGGTATTAACCACCTGACCTTTACGTTGCTCCCGGACCTTGAGGTGAGGGAGACCGCTTCCGATAGCGGGTCTTGGGGGTGTTGCTACTCGAACGAGCTCACAGGCCAAATATATCCTGGAGCTCTATTCGCGCTTGAACTTAACCACGCAACTGTCTTCAACGGGGGGCCAAATATATCCCTTCCCGGAACAGGCGTAAGGCCAGACTAGAGTTCCTTTACAGCGCGACGAAGACTTGCCAAGTAGATCGCAAATTAAGTAGTACTTTTTAATATAGTCCTATTTTTTAACTCCTTTACTTTATCCTTGCCTGAAGCTCTGATTCCTTGCGTCGACTGGTCTGATCCTTGTGTTGACTGGTCAGGAGTGGCTAAACGACGAGGGACCCAGGCCAACCGATGAGGGACCGGGTCTACCGACGAGGAATTGGGTCTATCGATGAGGGATCGAGGTCGACCGACGAGAGACCCAGGTCTACCGACGAGAGACCCAGGTCTACCGATGAGGGACCGGGTCTACCGACGAGGAATTGGGTCTATCGATGAGGAATCGAGGTCGACCGACGAGAGACCCAGGTCTACCGATGAGGGACCGGGTCTACCGACGAGGCGCCGAGGTCAACCGATGAAGGACTTAGGTCTACCGATGAGGGACCTGGTAGACCATTGAGGGACCGGTTCTACCCAGGTCGACCGAATAGGGATCGGGTCTACCAATGAGGGACCGGATCTACCAATGAAGGACCGGGTCGACCAATGAGGGACCGGATCCACGAATGAGGGGCCGGGCCTTCCAAAAGAGCCATGGTCGACTCCCTTCGGTACCGGTTTAACGGTACCCTGGTAATGACCTCTCCTTTGATTGAATTTCACATTCTCAGCCAATGGTCGCTTCACTCTGAGGTTCCCTTTCTCTCCGGTCTCTTCTCTCTGGTGCGTGGTCTTTCTGGTCCACGACCCCTTGTCTCCTTAATCCGACCGGTCCCTCGGTTCTTCACAATTTAGGAAAGCACTTCACCACATTGGCGCTCGCCCAGACTTGCATTGCTCGCTGCGCGTCCGTCTCCATCCTTCTCGCGTGATCTTGAGCCGCCGCGTACTCCAAGCTAGAATACGGTGCGCGTACTGGTGGTGCTGCTGCTTGCGGTGCCCTCCACTTTGGCTGCGCCGCATGTTGACCTGCTCCATGATTTAGCATGCTCGCATGGCCTTGTCCAGTACTTGGACGCACCGGTGAATGTCCGAGTGCATCGATATGTAACGGAGCACCGCCACGAACGTTGGCAAGCGCAGATCGAAACATTCCTGACTCAATCGCTCCCATCATCCGCTCTTCTTCGTCGAGCTTCTGCTGAAAGATCTCCATCTGCGCCATGCGCGCTTGGAGGTCGACGAGGGTCGCGAGTATCCGCGTGTCGACGTCGTCGCCCCTTTCGTGGGCCGTCGGTGCGCCTTGAACCACCGCTGGAGACGCTGCGGCCCTTTCGTGGCCGTCGTCGAATCTGACTGGCGTTGGTGCGGTTGGCCCGCCGTCGGAGCTAGTTGTTGGGGTCATAACCTATTAGAGCAGATGCGTATTTCTCACTAGGTGATTTATTAAATACTAACATATATTTGGTCCTTAGTTCGCCAACAAGTGCTACATCTAAGCCACTCCTATATTAACTATACCATACTCAGCTGACAGCGCGCCCATTATCAACCGTCATCATGTCCGTAATCCTGCGTCTATCCAACAGGCGCTCAGCGGTGCAATAGTGTAACTTATATTCAACATGTCCATTCTTAAAAATTCGTCCAAGGCTTGACTAGCATTAAGCTAGCTCAAGCCTTCCGGGAGGGCGTTACCCAAACTCGACCTGGATTGTCATGTGTATAGTACGGCGATATCGGTTGTCAAACCAGAATTGATATGGTACGATATTTCCTATAATCAGTCATAAGCCCACACTTTAAACCTCCTTACAAAAAGTATCAATTTATATCATTTATGCAATATTTTTGGCTTACAAGCGTGGCGTAAGCTTTCCGGCGTGTATTTCCGTTTTAAAACGTTTCTTTTACATAGCGGTCTTACTGTAGTTCTACTCGTTTGCGAACCCTTTCTTCGTAAAATGAGTCTAGATACAATATTTATCGTACAACGCGGTGTACACCACCACCGTGTCATATTACCCATCAGCTTTGCACATAGCAAAATACAGAAGTACATAAATTTTGTACAGTATTCTGCAAAAAAGCACCGACTGTGTAAAAATGACTACACATTCCACTTTAAACAGTTACATATGTAATTTTTATGGCTACTTGGAAGGGTTAATGAGTAATGTTAGATAGTTTATAAAGCACTAGTTTGTAAAACTGCAAAGTGGGTATATTTTTCAGGACTTAGTTCGCCCGTGCTACCTCTACTCCCAATTGTTCTAAAGTCTATTAGAACCTTCGACATTGACGTCATCAAAAAATGGTGTTACTGCCGTCGAACAAGTATAATGGTCACTTACCAATTTCCTCTGCTGGAATAATCTAGCTCTCAAGTGCGTCTTGCAAAATTTTAATTTTCGGCCCTTTCTTGTAATAATCCATATTCGAGGTAACAATGGATGCAAGCTCTTCATTGATTTCATCTTCGTACTTAGCACCCCAGGTCTTGGACAGCTTTTTAATTTCAGACAATGGAGGGGGATTCGTTGCGCGGAGCCACTCACCAGTTAAATAATCTCGAGCCATTGCCCCATCTTGTCCCATCTGAATAATATCGTTTATCAAATTTTCGTCTTTAAAATGTGATCGAATGAAAAAATACATGGTCTTGGAATCTTCAGCTTTAGCATTGTACGTATTTGTCAAACGTTTCAACTCTTGAAGGCTTTCGTGATTTTGGAGAAGTGAAGACAAACTTTCGTGTTTACTTAAGTGATCCAAAATTGATTTGTGTGTGTCATCGAACGTCGTTGATGAACTCCCTTTAAAGAAGTTTAATAGCTTAGGTGCCCGTTCTTCGCCATCGTCATCAACTAAAGCGTTGGTGTTGACAATGGCGACCGCTGCAACAAGCAGCACGGTGCAATAGAGACGCATCTGGTAGAACGTGGGCACTTGTGGATGAATTGTGAAATGAGTTCTGGTGAACGAACAGGATTGAGTCATTCCTCTTCACAGCCTTGGTGAAGTAGTAAAGAGCCAGCCACATGCAATATTGTCTATCTCTGAGAAAATTTATACAAGTCGCGGCTATATCAAGCGGAGGCAGCCAGTTTTCGTTAAATGTAGTCGCGAAAAAGGGCTTTTATCTTTATACTAGAGGCATCACAGGTAATTATGAGCTTAACTAAGGAATAGTATTAGGAGGCACTGATGGCTGCTCGCGTTGCTTATAGTGCCGGACCGCATCAGCTTATTATTAACGTAGACTCGGTCAAACATTTAAGTAATTCCTTGCAAGTCGCCTTTACCCGCAAAGCATTTTAGTATTCACCGGTGTTAAAGTCGCATGGTTCTTCATGAGAACACAGGCGACAAAAATATGCGGTGTCAAGGTTGAACCTGGTCAAAGTACTGTCTCACCTCTTTTTTATGTACCTACTTAATTTTTTTCTCCTTTTTGTGGCTAAAATGGTGCTAAGCATGATCTCCAACTATAGCCACTTTTTCGTTTGTAAGCACCACATATCTGTAGTATAGTGCCTCCGGACAGACAACTATACGACCGCCCTATATAAGAGACATTATACCTGTAAACTTTTTTATGCTCGGGTCATGTCGTCAAATGGCAAGCCTATCCTATGGTGTCTCTGTTGTACCCCACATGAAATCCAGTTCGGGATGTGTCGTTAAACATAGACTACATGGTTACTTACGCCGGGTCGTATTATTGTGGGCAATTCATGGCCCTAGTTAATATTGCTGAGTACAGACTTGTAAGCGATCGATCGAGCATTTCCATTAAGCAGATGTTTTCCATCAAACTATATGGTATTCTCACTATAAACATGAAATTTCCGGTAGTACGACTTGTGTTTCAACAATGTAACGACGCCTCACTTCCAATTTTGGTTTGTAAAGGCCTTCAAAGAGCCGGCGTACCAGTTCTCTTACCTTGGGCGGGAAGCCCTCCACCATGACCCCTAATTTCTGCTGCGCGCGTGAAAGGGAGGATGCGCAGCGTTTAACTTAACGGACAGCAAAAGGCACGAAGTCCTGAGGTGTGAGGCTCCGATTGCGAATTGGAGCTGCATGTCAAAGAGATCAGACAGCCTGGCCATTCTGTAACAGCCGGTATAGTACCCAAAGGGCCTTTCCTTTAAGACGGCACCTGCTCCTTGCATGTGATCAGGTTTGGCCAAACAATTTTTTGTCCATAAAAAGATCTTTGTACTGTCTATACGCTCGCCCGATGTAAGAGACATTTCATTTGCAAGCTTCTCTATGCTCGGATCATTCGGTCAAATGGCAATCTAATCTGGATTTCCATCGCGTACAACAGAGCGACCATAGACTACCTTTGGTCACTCTGTCGTATCCCACGAAAATCCAGTACGGGTTGTGTTGTCAACCTTCACAGCAATAGGAACAGATAAAGACAAGAAGCTGTGGCTTAGCGATGGAAATGATAAGAGCAATAGCGGATGCCTATGGGCTTTCGAATATCTGCAGCTAGCTCACCACGCAGGGACGACGAGGCAGATAAAGCGATTCACAATTATACTTTGCCGCCACCAATGGTGAGACATCGCTTATAAAGTGCGCACGCAATGACTACAACGTCGGCAAATCTAATCTTGACGATCTAACCGGCTTAATAACTCACTGTACAAAGAGCTTGTCGCATCCAGCTTGAAATGCCGGTGTTTATTGGCTTTTGGTATCGATATTTGAAGAAGTGTTGATGGATCTTTCATGTAAATAGTTCCAGGTGCATTGTCGCATTGGTAGAAGAAGCATCTTTTTGATGCTTCCTAATGGAAGCCCACAACTACGTCAACTGAAATCATTTCCGTCGATCAGGAAAAATGGCGTTTCTCCTGTAGGTGGGAAGGTCCATATCTTAGTCTGGACGGCACAATTTGAATAATTTTACGCAGGATTAAAGACGTTGGACCTCGGGATTTGACTTGAAGAGTCGACTACGAGGTAAAGGCCAAGGATTACGTCAAGATAATTCGCTGAAACTTTTTATTGCAGTGGTCACGGGACTCTTAGTCAAGCGTCTGCTGTCCCCAGAATCAGAACGTTTGCTTCGAGAGCGAGAGCAGCTTAGCCTTTTGGTTTAGAGTGCACACAAAGCTAACTTCTTAATCATATTAGATGGTATTCATTGTATGTAAGGAGTGTACTGTATAATCATGAAGTAGCTAAGAAGAAAAGTAAGTTTGATTTATTTAAATAATCCACTCACAGTGTGCATGCATTATCCGTTTTCCAATTAACTAATTTGTTTGCCGTTAATTGACGTACAATAGTAGTATTGCTGCTCAAGAGGTCCATCAACTGATCGACCTTCTTTATAAAGTTGCGTCTGCGTAATCGCATCGTATCCTGATCCTTTAATCCCTCCAGCGCCTCCTAATGTGTCCAGCGTCTATTAAAACTGGGAGACGAGGTTGTAATTTACATTTAAGTCACACGATGCAATTCGGAACTGTCGATCAATTTTACCATACAAGCCCTACTGTCCTAACATACATCTCTTCATGGCCTATGCCAGTTGGCAAGTACAACCTGGGACTATGCGTCAGCACGACTCCCTTCTCATACCTTCAACCATGAAGCATACCAACTGCCATTCACATACCCTGCCATCCACTGCCAACTGCCAGCGACTTCCACTAATCTTCAACTTATATCAACACGCCTCTCTCGAGATATCCATCTCGCACATCTTCCTTCTGAACGCCCATTAAATTGGACAATCGTGCAAGACGCTTCTCATCGAGTGCTTTCGTAAATAAATCGGCAGGATTATCGTCGACCCCAGCATCTTTTTGTCAGAATCACCTTCTTTAATTTTACCTGCTCACGAACAAAGTGCCAGCGTACTCGATATGTCTCGTACGACGGGAACAAGTTGAATTTGTCGCCATCACGTATGCACTCCGACTGTCAATCCCAATGTGCATCTCAACAGGAATAGTTGGTAATATTTCACTTACAATGTTTAGCTCTCCAATCGCTTCCATTACACCTTTACATGCTGCCACATCTTCAGCCTCGGCCGTTGACAAGGCTATGATCGGCTGTCGCTTTGACGACCATGATATTGCACCACCTGCAAGCAACAAAACGAAACCTCCAGTACTCTTTCGGTCTGCAGCATCTAAAGCCCAGTCACTATCACAGTAACCTTGGATATAATCTTTAGATGCTAAGTCGATTGCGCACGCTTGTACACTATTCCATAATCAAGTGTTCCAGCGAGATATCGAAGTACACAGTCCACACAACCAACGTGAAGTTTAGTCGGATTGGCCACAAATTGACTTAGCTGACCCACTGCATATGCCAAGTCGGGTCGCGAACATGTTGTCAAATACAGTAACATTCCCACTCTACCACGATAATCAGACGTCTTATTGATGTCATCCTTCTCTTCTGCACACATTAGGTTTTGCTTTGTCTCAAGCGGGTTTCCAACTGCATGTGCTTGTTCAAAGTGAAACTTCTGTAGAATCTCACGTGAGTACTTTCTTTGGCTTATCTTAATGGCATCTTGACTCGTTTGCACTTTGACACCAAGATACTCCGTGAGCTCACCTTGATCCTTGATACCGAACTGCAATGCCAGCTTTCCAAATAAGTCAATCTTTACTGCTTCGTTGTTTGTTGCGCATAACATGTCGTCAACGTAAACCAACACTAGCACTATCGTTCCCATCGTGTCCTGACGATAGTATAGACACGGTTCCGTTGAGCATCTTTGATACTCATTTTCCATCATCCAATTGTGTAACTCATCATTCCACTCACGTCCAGCTTGACGTAAGCCATACGATGCCTTGCGCACCACATACATGTGTTCCTTACGTCTGCATGGAAATCCGTCAATTGATTTCACATACTGTGATATCTTTAAATTGCACTTGAATACGCGGTGTTAATATCACCACCGTACACCTTAAGATTCAGTTCTGCCGCTGATGCAAGCGTCATCCTGAAACTTGACATACGTGCTACAGGAGAGAAAGTCTCAACAAAGTCAATACCAGGCCGCTGCCAATTTCCCAAAGCAATTAAGCGTGCCTTAAAGCGGATTACATATTCGTATTGATCCGTTTTAAGTGCCCACACCCACATGATTTTAATCGCTTTGGCTTCTGGTGGTATGTCAGCCGTCGGCATTTCTTCCAATACATTCTTAAGCTGCTTTGCATCTATTTCTTCACGCTGAGCTTCGTGCCTGAACTCTGCATATTTTGACCGTCCAGCGTCTCTGGTGCTTCGTGGCATTCTGACGTCACTCACACGAATAAATTGGCCAAGCTTGTCCAGCACTCTTGCGTGTGTGGTCAAAGCAACATAATCTTTGTACCTATTCGGCTTGTGTTGCTTCGCCGCCTCTCTCAGACTTGCACGTCGTTGACACATTGCTGTATTCTCATCATTTATGTGTGATGATACATCACCGTTTGATGATACATCACTATACCGCTGCCTCTTTCTTGTTTCACTTTCCTCACTAGCAATCGGCTCACCCGATTTCTTGTTCAACAAATCTTGCAACGTGTCTTCGACACTAACGTCTGCTTCAAACGTTGAAACACTGACATAACTTGGTGTCACAAGAAATTCCAAATCATCACTCCTGATACCATTAAATTCCAAAACATCACTCCTGGTATCTACAAAATCCTGATCTTCGGCATCACCATCAAAATCAGTATCGGAGTCACCACTAACATCATCATCGTCGTGATACGCACTATCCATTTCATCACGACGGATGTCTCGGGCAGAACCACCGTAGTCACCGTCGTCACCGTCGACCATCCCATCCGTCGCCTCGGTGCCAAGAATATCATAAGTGGCATCGCCCGTGACTGATGCGTCGACACCGGACGCCTCGTTATCTGCAAAAACTGGAGAGAAAGTATCAGCAGCAACAGACGCTGGGGCAGATCGAGCGTCGCCGTCGTGGGGAGAAAAACGAAGGCGATCCAGGAAAGGCACATAGGTGGTGCACCGATTGCGATCACGGTAGACAATAGACTTATCAATGACTACGTCTGCAGCCCACTTGCGGGTATGTTCGTAAGGGAAATAAATTTGGTACCCCACCTGTTCGTCCCGGAGACCCAGTACAAACCCGATCGTCGCATTTTCCTTGGGTCGTGGTCGATCTGGACCCTTTGGCACGTAACATACGCGAATGCCCCAAACACGCGAATATGATGAAGATCTGGTTTGACACCAAACATGCGTTCGTGCGGTGTGCAGTTTGCCGCCTTGTTGTAAACGCGATTTTTGAGGTATACAGCATATTCAAAAGCATCTGGCCATAACTGGGGTGAAAAATCAGAGTCTCGAAGCATCGTATTCGTCATGTCACTTAGCGACTGGTGTTGTCTCTCCACGGGATTCATGTGAGAACTTTTTGGTCCATTGGTCCAACCTGCACATGCTGAATTCCTCGTGCGTTATACCATGCATCGATATCGTGGTATACAAACTCACCACCTTTGTCCGTCAGAATAATCTTCACCGGTAACGTGCGATGTCCTTCCATGATATGCCAACTACGATGCACAATCTTCTTGATGCTTCGTCCAGCTTGCCGCTCGGCCCAATTGACGTAGTTTTTCATCAACTCATTCACCGTTTCTGCGTCCTTCTTTGCCAGAAGATGTGCTGTCAAGTATCGCGAATAACCGTCCATAATAACGAGAATTGCCGTATACTTGGTGCCATTATTTCTCGATGGAAAAAGAAGATCAGCATACACAACTTGATTGAGACCTGTGATATCGTGCTCTTTCTTCTTGTTTCGACGTTGGTGCCGCTGTTTGCCAACATGACATGCGTCACACGAAGATGATTTCCACCCCGTCAGAATCATACCATGGACAAAGCCTTGATCAACCATGGTCTTCAAATACTGTTCACAGGTGTGTCCAAGACGCTGATGCCAAAGTTTCATAGTAGCCAGTTCATCTACCGCTGAATACTTTGCTTCTGCCTGAGGTAACGTTCCAGCATTAAAAGAATAAACGACTGGATTTTCCGCATGATCTGAGTGATGCGGTCCCCACTTTCCGTGGATTCAGAGGTAGCATCGAGTTCAGCACTCGATATGATGAGAATCCCCACGTTCCATCATGATGTTCGGCTCGGATAAGCGGTTGGTCACGATAGTAGACCATAAAATCCGTGCTTGAAGTAGCCATGTCAACTTCGAATCCTTGTTCGACTGCCCTTCCATTGAGAAAAGTCAGTGTTCCGCATCTGGAACATGCAACACGTGGTCCAGGAGAAACATTTCTCTATCCCATCAACTTTTGTAACAATTATAATGGTACCCATTCCAGTCACTTGTGAATGGAGCGCTGTTGATATACCGGAGAGGCTAATTTCCGACTTTGATGGAACCGAATTATACTCAACAAGATCTTCTCGATTTGGTGACACGCGAACGTTTGCACCTGTGTCGAAACACCGTGATGTGTGACTATTGCGGTACTGTCAGCAATTTTAATTCTTTCTGACAACCCCTTAACCTTTTGTTTTGCAACACCACTTCCTCGCTTGGTCACCCGCTGCGAAATAGAGATAGCTGGTATCGAAGATTCCGACATTTTTTACGTCTTCAACCTCAATAAATCTACCTCGCATGTAATTTGTTTATCTTGACCTCGCGAATTTTTCACCGCCTGCGCCTCTTCTGCGCATGTGTAGCAAAACATACGCGTGGCTTTGTAATTCTCGTACCGCTTCTTTACAATTACGTTTCAAATGTCCTGTCTTGCCGCAGTTGTAACAAGACCTGGTGTCCTTCCTCTCCCCCCGTCCAATCGTATTCTTTCTCGCTTTGTCCCCTTTTCTTGACCCTGCATATTCTCCTTGTAGATACCCTCCATGTGAAAATCCCTTAGTTGACTTTCGAATTTGATACCTTGAGCTTGATGCACGAATCTGCTCCTCCAACTCGTCCATATCTTTAGCTAGTGAATTTCCACACCAGTTCTGCGTTTGGATCAGTCCGAATTCTGGTACCGTGCTGGGTAGACTCTGTAGTGTATACATCATCATTGTCGTAAACGAGAGCTTGCTTCCATAATCCGCCAGTTCAAGCTCCTTGTTTTTCATCTGACGCAAATGATCCTCGATATCAATGTCAGAATTATATCGCATTCGGCGAAGCTCTTCTTCAAGACGTTGCTCAGCGTGAAAAGTCGCAACTGTATTTGCTCGAATTTCAAACCGCTTGCAAAGTGTTGCAAACAGTGCACTTCCTGTCTAATCCGTCCTATAGAGTTTCGCCAGCTCTGGCGAAAGTGACATCATAATCTCTCGTTGGCCTTGCCTTCATCAGTTGAGAGATACTTCCGGCTGATATGACCGCATGCAACATCCCAAAGTTCTTGGTCGATGTTTTGTAGCGCCATCATCGCTATTTCCTTGTAGGTATGCCAGTACTGACCTTTAAAGTTACGTGGCATGCCATCCTTTGAATACATCTTCACACCTTGTCCGCTATCCTGAGGGACCATAGTTGAGCTCATAACCCTTGTAATTTACACTTGAGTCACACGATGCAATTTTGGAACTGTCGATCAATTTTACCATACAAGCCCTACTGTCCTAACATACATCTCTTCATGGCCTATGACAGTTGGCAAGTACAACCTGGGACTATGCGTCAGCACGACTCCCTTCTCATACCTTCAACCATGAAGCATACCAACTGCCATTCACATACCCTGCCATCCACTGCCAACTGCCAGCGATTTCCACTGTTTTTCATTTATTTATAACAGAGGACCTTCCCAAGCGCATGAAGCACGACACTAAGCATGATATTGATCACATCTTGGTCTTCCTTGCAAGTTAGCACCCACGATCCTGCTTTTTTTACTTTCCCTTATGTTGCATTCTCCTAAAGCAGCTCAATGTGAAACCGCCATACTTAAGACGTTAGTAATCGTACGACATATGTCGCTGATTCTATATACCTTTTAGTTGTCGGAATGTACTAGGAAAGTCAGATTTCACACAATCAAAGGCCGCCGTTTGTCGAAAATGGGAGCCATTTTCTTTAGTGCCCTTGATGCTGCAACAGAATGACCCTGCAACAATTATTCACCTCGATGAGCTCGCACAGCATCCACGAGAGCCATTACATTTTTTTCACAAGTATGCCCGTTCCGCTCCAGTGTGGAGTGAAACGTCGACAACCAATACACAGTTTGCGCCAGTACGTAGCGCGATGAAAGGAGGTACTGGTCTTCGTCAGGAATGACTCCAGTGCCATAATAAGGTTCAGTGCCAGCCATCGTCGTGCAAGAGTGAAATCCAACTCAAAAATCAAATCGTTCCTGTCAGCAGCCGCCAGTAGTGCTAGAATGTCATGCTTCTTGGCAGCGCTGACACATTTACGGCCCGCAGCAGTTTTTAGACTACCGCATATTCCATCGTTATTTTTCTAAGTAGTGTTTTGTCCATCGACCACGTTGGCAAATTCGAAGTCGAAAGTATCATCATCACCGTCTCCATCGTCTGTATTTTTCTTTTTTTGGAGAAATGACGACAAATCAAGCGCAGCGCCGACACTGATGACGAAGCGCTAATTGTAAGCTTAATTCGCAATGCCTGAAGAGCATAAAAAGCATGAACGAGGGCATGTTTCTTTGTATTTCTCGCCACAAGCTGACTCCACTTTAAATTAGCTGTCTTTAATGTCTTTTGAAGTTGCGCCTCTGGATCAGTCCGTTCCTGATTACGAAATATGCACGAACGTCCTAATCTCAGAATTTTGCTGATCATGTAATGCAGACAAAAGTGAGCTAGCTTCGTGAGTATCTTTCTTTATCTCGCAATTTGAGAAAAAGTATGCTGGTGTATCGTTGGTTAAACGAGTTCACTTTGTGCAAAAACAGAGCAAGGCTTGTCTCCTTCGTCAAACTATACTTTTGCAAAACATCAAACAGCAACAAACCACACTCTTGTTGCACTAAATAATTTTGCTATGTAAATCATCCAGCTTTTGTCAAAAATATTTGACTCTTCGTCGAGATCTTTGTCAGCGTTAACATGCCTACCTTATCGTTTTAAATTGTATTTCTTTACAGCCTCTTCGGTCAACCGCGCAGCCATTTCGAAACATCGTCGTGTAAGCTCAATCACATGGGCGATAATATCGTGGCATATTCTTCAATAAACTTGGCTACGAAGCGTAGCATCGTTCCTTTCCGTTCGTCATTACAACCCTTAAGCTTAAAGGCCTCGCTACAAACTTTGTGTTCATCGACATTTTTACCTTGCCACTCTTTCATTTAAATAAACAAGTTCCACACTATCACTCATGCAACCTTCTCACTGCGCTCGCACCATACGATCCAACAGACACGCGATCCTTCCACTCGTCGCGACTGCTCACGCCACGCCATCGCGACTGCTCACACCACGCCATCGTGACAGCTCACGGCGTCGCACACGCCATCGTGACAGCTTACGGCGTCGCACACGCCATCGCGACTGCTGCCGTACGTCGTCTGCTTCTCTTTTCTCTCTGCATACTGAAACTCAGTGTGCCCGATACTGACCTTTCGCATCTTCAATGCAACTCTTGCGATCATGCATTCACACAAAGCGACTTCTCTCAGCACTCCTCCTCGGGCACCTGTGTCTCACCTCTTGGCGTACTAGCAGCCCTCGTAGCGTTGCCATCTTGGACGGATCGACCACCTTTGTGAACAAGTCTGCCAGGATGAGCTCTGAGCGCACGTGCTGAGCCTCGATCACGCCTTGACGAGCGAGGTCACAGAGAAATTTCAATCGGACGTCGTTGTGATTCGCTTTAGTTGATGTCGCTTCGCCGTTGATCTGGCAAATGGCGGCCTAATTTTCGATGCGCATCGTCATTGGTAGCTCTATTTGAATGCCGATCTCACGCAGCATTTCACAAATTCCTAGCCGCTCCCGTGCCACTTCGGATGTATCCACGAATTCAGCTTTCATGATGTTGAGTGTGACGTCACCTTGCTTCTTCGCACACCAGCTCACAACCATACCGTTAAGTCGCACGACGCCGCCGGTGATAGACTTGTGATCCTGTTTGTCTGCTGCAAAGTCTGCATCACTGAACGACTCGAGCGTCGGTGCGTCGCCCGCGTCGCGCTCTGGCACCAACTTGATTTTCAACGCGATTGTCCCCTTCAAATTACTTGCGATTCGCTTGGCGAGTTTTCAGTCGTGCACACGAGGTTAGCGCGTCTGTCGTGTTGCTTTGTGTACTGCAAACGACACGTCTGGTAGCGTGCATCGTGCGATCCAAAGTAGCGAGCCGACTAGAGACGGAAAGACCTGATCGTCGCGTGCTTGCCTGCGTTGTTATTGTCGAGTAGTTTGCTGTCAGCATCTTTCACCCTGTACACGTCTGCTCCAATTGGCGAACGTGTAATATTCGCGTCGCTAAATCCATTCTCTCGCAGCAACTCGACGATGGTCTCCTCTTGGTCCAAAAGGTAACTCCTACTTGCCTTCTTGTTCACACGCATTTCGAGAAACTTCGCAACTGGACCGAGATTTTTGATCGATAGACACTGCATCACGTCTAAAAACTACTTTACGACTGCCGTAGACGTTTTAGTGACAAGTATGTCGTCGACGTAGACTCCTGCAATTACGAGCTCTGCGTCCACTCGCCTGTAGTTCAAGCAGCTGTCTCTGATGCACTGCGTATACCCGTCTTCGACGAGTCGCTGATGCAACAGCTGACTCCAGAGTCGGTCGGCCTGTTTGAGGCCATAGAGACTTTTGCGTAGCTCTAGAGCCAAGTTGTTCGTGCTCGTGACGCCGAGCTTGCGCATGCGCGCCGCTGGTACGTCCATGCCGCTCAGGATGTGCAGCAAGATCTAGAGGTGCGGCTCTTTCGACGCTTTGACATACGCAATTTGTATGTCACCGTGCTGAGCCGGAATGCCCCACGCCGCAAGTGCCAGGATCATTTTCACTGTGACATATCCATGACTGCCGCGAAGGTCAGGAAGTAGTTAACGCCCAAAACTTAGTCGTTGCCACAGGCAACCAAGTGGGCTTTGCGACGTTTGAGCTCACC